CGCTGTCTGAATAACTTACCATAAACTCATTGTAATCCCCATCTCATTTCTAGCATGGGTGGCAGTTGCATTGCCAATTTCATTCAATAAATTGCAATTAGTCTCACATTTGTGGCCAGTCAGGCGGCTAAGCAGCTGAATCATGGGCTGAAAAACTGGGCTGGAAATGTGTAACATCATATGGTTGACTAATCCGCCGACACGCCTCTTTAGTGGGTTACCTCACGTTTGCTCCGATCGGAGCCAAAGATCTAGCTTTGTTTATGCACTTTCGGTTTCGAATTTCCCACACAGATTATGTCAGGTGCATCATCTTCCAAAAAACAAAAAAACAACAGCCACCGCAGCATATTTTTCACGAAAATTGCCGTTTCTTCTTCTTCTTCGCCCATTTCCCATCTCCCTTTGGCTTGCAAACACTTTAGCATAATTTTCTCAATGTCGCAACGCTTTGGGCCTGGGAAATGAATACATGGTTGGATACTCATGTGAAAACTCATAATTGTTGTGGGTGCTGCGGTGCAATTTTAATTGAGAATTATCAGCAAAACGCACGGCGAAAGAAATCAGCAGCCAAAACAAAAGACTTAGGCAACGAACTTGTTTGCATGCAAAACGGCCACGAGAAGTAAAAAGTATAAGTGCAGGCAAAGCCAAAGCAAAAACAACACCTGTGACCAATTGACTGACAAATTCGTGCACAAATAAATTATTTGCAAGGGGGCAGAGAAATGGCCAAAGAAAATGCCTTTGTCATTGAACGCTAACTTTATTTATTTTGGCCAGTTGAGCTACTTACCAACAATAGAAAAACGGTTAACAGCTGTTACCGTAGTTTAGTTTTTGTTTTTTGTCGGTCATTATTACAACACAGAGATCCGAAAGAGCGAAATAAATTTAAGTCAATGCAGTCCCCTGCAGAAAAAGCTAAAGTCTCCATATTTATTCGATCTTCAAGTGGCCAAGCACTATGCTCCGGCGGCAGCTGCTCCCATCCACTACGACTACGACGATGGCTACTACAACCAGGGCCAGCAGTACGAGTACATTCCCCAGTACGACCAGTACAACTACGGCCACTACGCGAGTCCCTATGCGGGTCACTACTAGGATGGACTCGGAACTCCGACCCTTCGTAGACGTTTAAGCCCACTTAGTTGTACACCACCACCACCACCACCCGGAAACTCACTGGATTCTCTCAGTGCAGCTCGCGAAGGAACTTTGAGATCTACGCTACGCAATCGAACAAAAGGGAAACATCAAGGTTAATCTTACTTAAGTTATGTAACAAATTTGTAAAATAAAGATTCGAAAAAATGTTTAAGTGGAAATACGAAAATTAATGGTGTTTTCTTTGGTACTTTAGGGAAACTTACAGTAATATGATCAAATTAAATAAAGGTTTTTATAAAGTTTATTGGCGGAGGATAGATTTCAGGACTTTACATCTTAGTTCCTGTACTTTGCTGAGCTAATCGCTTTTACCTTTTTTTTAAACTATTTAATTTTCCTTGGACTTTTAAGAAAAAATTAAAACTTTTCAACAAAATATATAAAAAGTTAATTGAAAGCTTAATTGTAGATTTAATTCAAAAAATTACAATCGATTTCTTTAATTATCTTACCCATTTTTAAACGTACAAAAGATCCTCATACCACTACTTACATTTATTATTAATTATCTTATAGGTTTGGCATGAATTTATCTTTCAATTTAGTTAGAAAAACATCTGTAAATTCTAAAATGCATGAATTTATCTTTCAATTTAGTTAGAAAAACATGTGTAAATTCTAAAATATATTATACGAGTATTCAGTTATGCTTTTTGTTTGACTTTAGTTAAGCTGAGTAATTACGATGAATGTTCCTCCCTTTTTTCTCTTAATGATTTTAAATTCAACACAGTAATTCTAATGAGCAAATAGCTTAAAATAATTAAAATGCAGCTATCAGATTCCGCCTTCCATGTTGGCGTTACAATTTACACTTAGCAAACCATTTATTCAATTTGCACTACCCATTTGGGGAAGCTTTAATTGATGTGTCTCATGGCCAATTGAACGCTGCCAAAGCTTTGGATTTCATTAAAGCAAAAATATTGCCATTCAATATTCAAAGTTTAACGTTTCCGTTGGCTTTTTCCTCTAACAAAAACTAGACATTTTCACGGTCTACAAACTTGTAGCTCCAACTTACATAAGCGTTTTTTTAGGGTTATTTTCATTGTTTGTTTAGATGGCCCATTTCGCTGACTTAATTGGGGGTCTCAAGACCTTTCTTCCGGTGGCTTTTGCTGACCCGCCAAATGGTCAAAGTGGCGATAGCCGAATAAGATTAAAAAGCTTTTTATATCAGCTTGAAGCTGGGCTTAGAAAACTTATTTCAAGCCTGAGGGTTTTAAAAATGACTAAGACTTTTTCTGTTAAAGATGTAAAATTCATTGCATACTTTGTGGGATTTCCTTTTCTTAACCAGAAATTGTAACCAACTTTTGCCTGCCCAGCAAAACACTGTCTACCGCAGTCATAAATGATTTTAAAATGCTTTTAAATGCCATTTTTATTTGATTTTCTATTACTTAGCTATGAACACAGATTGTAACACCGCAACGTATACTTAATATTTCAGCGAAATATCACTCATGCGAACGGGGGGCGCCAAAGTCGGCTAACTGCATATCTGAGCTGTGATCTTGATGGCAGCTAATCTGCGTACACAAGACACCATGGAATTAGCCAATCGTTTAATTAACAAATAAATTGAATTCGGATTCGATCTTAATAACTGTTAATGGTTCTGGCGGCCTGTAATTGCCCAGCACCACTGGACAGCTGTCTAGAACCACGCAATGGTTTTCTTTTTTCCTAATGTTTTTTTCCATCTACCACTGGTCTCTGGGCAATTACACAACGGATGTGTATATCTAGTCAACTAGTCAACTGGAAGCGTCTTCTTGGCTCCGTGTTTGTGGCTCAAGGTTAGGGTCCAAGAACTGGTCTCGAGCAAACATTTCTCGGTTCCAAGTTGCTTTGCATAAAACGTAGATTAGCCCGGCGATGAGTTATGGATTGCATTTAGCGGACAAAGTATTACGATAATTTGTTCCAGTGTGGTTGCATCAGAGTGGAGCTTACCCAATCCGATTCATTTGGGCGCATTAGGATTGAATTAAAATTGCTGGGATTGTGCGGGCTCCAATGAAAGTGACAATTAACAAAAACCAAAACTGAAGCTGTTAAATAAAAATTGTTTTTTGCCCCGGACAGGCCGTCGTCGCCTGAAATTTCCTCGAGAGGTCTGGGGGCCCGGAGCAAAAGTCTGAACCCAACCCGGCCCGAGACGTCAAACCTCAATTATAGCCAACGCCAGCGGCGGCCTAGCCAACTCCTATATATAAAACATATGGCCAAATATATATACGGGTACTATTGGTAGCATTACCTACGTACGTATATGCCCGACTCACAGGTTGCCAAAGTGGACAATTTAATGTGGCTGTCATGTTAAATGCCAGGCCAATAATTTAAGCCTCATTTTTCGTGGCTAAGAAATGCTTCAGCTGGGTGGCAAACAGTCAAAGGAAATCATGGAAAACTTACAAATCGCATTGAGGAAATTCTGGACTGCTAGTGCAAACAATGAGAAAATCGCAAAGGATTGATAAAAAAATATATGTACTCCTTTTCCGTTTTGGTTTCCTGTTTAAACTTCGACTCAAATTATAGCTATAAAGTTCTTAGGTTAAAACCAAGACCTTAAAAACAAGGAAGAAGTACGCGATACCATAAACCTAGTTTCAAAATTCAATCTTCCATCGGGTGTAATAAATCTTTCGGGCAAAGTCCAACTGCATTTCATTAACAGTCAATTTAAAATAATCGACCATGATTACTTCCGTCTAATGGCAAAACAAACTAACTTATTAATTGAACCCAACCACGAGCCCAACTCCCAGTTGATCGGCATCGATCAGACTTCGTTCATTCGAACCGATTTGTGCAACCACAAATAAATCTAATTTTGCAAACCCTCTTGAACACCGTTTCGCAAACCGCAAATAATGTTTTCAATAAACAATGTATTTTTCCCTATCCATGAGGCAGCTCAAAATTAAGTCATAAAAGTTTGCCGAGTTGTGAGCATCCGAAACCGGCTAAGCTGAAAGCTCTGAGGCATCTATTATTGACTTTAGAGGCTGTTTAGTTGCCAGTTGCCCGAACAGTTGCCAAATTTAGCATTCGCGCATTACAAAACACCAAAGCAGATATAGTAGTAAAACCACTTGTTTAGGATTCTATTGATGCCCAGATGAGACCCAGTTGGCCGTAAAGATGCAAAACCACACGAAAACCCTTTCAAAGTGATTGTTGTCGCTGGGACACGTTTTTAGTGTGTTTTTCGAAAAATATTGCAAAATGAGTTATAAACATGTGTATGCCAGTGTTTGTGTCATTGACTCATGGAGCAGAAAATCAGAACATTTTCTGTAAGGGGTACACCTCCTCAATACTTATTACATTGAATGGTATTGACTATATTTTCAAGTATCACGTTTTTATAACACGTTTGCACTATCATTAAAAACAAGTATTTTTGTAAGCCTCTTCACGCCGAGTATAAACTTATATAACCCATGCAAATTGTTATTAATTTTATTACTATTTATTGAAAAAGTATTGGACATATTATTGTTTTTTCATTTTTTTAAATACAGTAGCATTTTTATTTTACTATGAAGTTTAATCACGTTAAACTTAAATATCCAGAAATTAAGTTGAAGAGGAAATCTGTAAATTGGCGCTTTTTTATACAACTTCTATTGTATCTCAAAATATTTCTTATAACAAGTTTAGGAATATAATTCCTATTGAGCATCTTAAATTATCATTTTAGTGATACAAAGTAATTCCGAATCGTCTATAGTATATACCCCTCCTACTCTCTAATTACATCCCAGCTGAGGCAGCTCCATTTGATGCGTCACTTTTACTATCAGCACTGAAAAATCTTAGCTCAGCTCGCAAAACCGAAAAATGAGCAGCAAGCAGAGTAATAATACAGAATAAAGGCGAACATCGTTTGTCGATTTTTCAGTCTGGGATACACAGAAGGGGATTTCGAGGGGGTTATGGTTATTATTGCAATGGATTTTCGGAACGAATTTTGCAAGGCTGCCGATCGCTGATGCAGTTTTGTAGCCTGTTTTTGTGTTTTGTGTGATGTTTGAAACTAATTTGCGGTTACAAGCTCGTTTTTGTGTGTTGTGTAGCCGGGTGCTCAAAGTGCGGCATCATGCCCTTTTGTTGCCTGGGCTAGGTGCTTTATTGAATGCGATTCAGGGAACTGCTCGCAAAAGTTAATTAAATCACACACAGGCCGGGGGAAGAATTGCAAAAGAGAATGATCTAATAGTGGGGATGCAGATGCAGATGCAGATACAGATATAGATTTATTTATGCATACACGATGGGGCATAGGCATAATTATAGAGACCCGCTGGCACCACGATTTTCGTGCGCAGGAGAATCTCAGCTGCCATCGCCAGTTGACAATCTAAAATCCCAGACTCATCTCATCTCGTAAATAAAAAACCCAAGAGCACTCCACTCCAAACACTTCAGAGCAAGCGTGGCAGCCCAGCAAAGTGGTTCAGTTTTCAAGTGTTTGCCATTGATATTACGGCCCACACATAGCAACATAGCAACTGGCAACTCGCAAGCAGCAACTTGCAACTCGCAACTAGCAACTTGCAACACCAAAAGTAAGTGGCTCTCTGTGGAAGGAAGTCGTTTGATTATCTTTTAAGGGGAGACCTCCTTGATTTTGGGACTTTCATTTCTCTCAAACATTCAACACAAAATGATGAAAAATCTTATTAAAACAAGCCCAGAAATCTGTTACAATTACTCACCGTTTTTTCAATTTGCATAAAGCAAAGTTCAATAACATAAATTGCCAGACATCAATATCGCTTTTTAGATTCGCTTTTCATGTTCGGCTTAATTTTTGCCTCGATTTTTAAGCAGTAGTTCCCTTTCGAATGGCCAAGAAAACTGCGGAACTTTCATATGCGCAATTTCGGATTTCCATGAACTTAACTTTGCTTGAATCCTTTTTTTTTATTTTGGCAACTTTGGCCTTTTTCCGCAATTGTCACAGGCAATTGTCATTGCCATTGCTTGCGGCTCCGTTTTTTCGATTATTTTTTGTGACTCGGGATTTATATGTGCCTACTGCCCATTTGGAGCACATTATGTAAATTCGGTGCATTTAAAACGGGTTTCAATTTTGTCGGTTTTCAGCCGCTGTTCGCAAACCATTTCTGCGATTCGTATCGCATCTGAGTGCTTTTCGGCCCGCTTTTTGGCTGTCCTAGCCATGCATTTTAATTGGGAAGTGCAGCAACACACGACTCTCGGCCAGGAAAGGCCATAAAAGGCATGGTTTTTTTGTTTTGTGCGCCGCTTGGTAACTCGGGATCTTGGAACCTCGAAAGGGGAACGGGAAGAAAGGCCCAGCCAAGTGTGGTCACGAGTGCGGCCTTGAAAGCGGTCTTCTTCTGTACCCATGACATTATGCAATCCCCCGATCAAGATCTCGAGATCTCGTAGAAGGGGAAGTGAGTGAACCGGGTCGCTGAATGTGGCCAACAACAGGGGATCGCGGCTTGAATTGCGGAAGATGAAAAGCCAGATTATGACCGTAATTGTCGTAGAATGTCTGCGCTTAAAGCGTGTCTCCCAAACGGAAACACAACTTCACCAGACAAGATCATAAAAGTTTATTCAACTTGCCAACAATTCGCAGGGATGTTAAGATCATGTTTGGTCATAAAAAGAGCGGCTTATCTTTTGAAGATGAACGCATTTCTGGGAAATTTTTAGGGTGTATAAAGCATTATGTGTTTGTATTGTCATTATACTGCACATCATTAGGATTTTACTTCACATTCCATCATTTTATGATCGTTCTTCCAATTTTAAACTTTTCTTCGTACATGAGACAATTACATATTTCTGCCTCTGAAATGTACATGATAGTCTGATACGATACTATTTTGTTATGTTTTGATTACATAAACCTTTATACCATTTAGCTGTGGTTTTTTTGTTCGCATTCAATGATGAAATTGTACATCAGCATTATAAAGAGTAAAATTAATTGATACTTTTTTTAAACCTTCCAATTGAACCCCTTTCTAAATCAAGCAATATTTGACATGTTTTATTATTGCCCAACTGCTTTCTCCGCCATGATTCGCGCCCCTTTTTATACATTTCACCCGCCTTCGCTGCCATTTCATCTTTCCCCCATGGCAATTAAGCGAAGTGTGCAGTAACTTCCACAATTTAAAAACCTAACGGCAGCTCAATTCAACATTGGCGGCGACATTGGCTATGATGCTGCAAATGCGAATGCGAATGCGGCAGCCCCCGGCGATTGCTATAAAGATAACAACAAATAGCATTGACTAAGGTTATATATCTGGGCACGACGACGGAGCCGGGGATATAGACACATTCGATATAGCCTCCGATCTCGAGTGTCGCAATGTTATGTGCGACTGGCACCCGCATAACTAAAGTTGGAGCTGGAAATGGTCAGGGGTGGGGGCTACGATGGCTAGGAGTAGGGGTTCCCGGGGTCCAGTGGCAGTTCATTATGTAAACAAAGCAAGGAAAACAAGAAATCTGGCCACAAATCAATAGAAAACGCAAGTGTTTTTATTTTTTTCGCATCCGACCGACTGGCCAACAAGCTGACAAGGCGACTGACTGACCGAGTGCGGCTGTCTCTGGCTCTGGATCTCGGGATCTCTGGATCTGTATCCATAGATGTGTCTCTACAGCTGGAAACCCGAACCCCAGCTCGGTCCAGTTATGAATAAACATTCGCCGCATGTTTGTCGGGCCTAATGGAGCGCGTGTGTTTCAGGAGGCTTTTCCAGTAAAAGAAATGAAATGGAAAATGCTTTGTCGTCCGATATTTCTCTTTCGCCATTTCGTTTTCATTTTATTGCATTGCAATTAGCAAGTCAAACGAAACAAGTTGTCCTGGTCCAGCCTGTTTTCGGTGTAGGTAGCTATAGGTTTTTTCCCCCAGTGCATTTGGCATTTCGAAGGCTGAGATGGGCCCGAAAAACGTGCCCTGACCCACCGTAGATTATCGGTTCGATTCTGTGAATTATGGAAGTCAGCCGCCCAGCCGACCCCGCAATTAACGACAGTTGGGACGGACCCGGTTTTGGGCGCCAAGATTCGTGGCCCAGAGGGATCCAGTACTCCAGCACAACATCCAGCCAGATCATCTAGTTAGCTGCGATTGCGCAAGCCAATGGGGCGTATGCGTAGTGCAGCCCATGGCCAATCGAAAGTCGGTGTAGTGGGCTAATTAGACAATTTCTTTATTACCAACGGAGAATCCAAGATTGCACCGAAAATAAAATATACAAAAATTGGGATAAATCTAATAGTAAGATATATCATATTTCGTATAATTAAACTTATCTGATGTGCATAACTCACTGCAGATAAACAAGTTTGCAAAGTTTTCATACCCACTTTGATAAATGTTTTTATAAATGGTTGTTGACACTGCCAAATGCTAGTTTTGAATTTATTACTTCATTTAAAAATATGCCAAAGTCCGACACTAATTGATTTTTGAATCAAAGGTTAGTCAGTAACCATGATGAGGTAAAAATAAATACAAGGATGGTATTAAAACGTGATTTTAGTGTATAAAAAAATATAATATTGTTATTAATTAACTTCTTCCTTTTTTAAGAGAACGCAATCTTTCTGAATTTCGTATTTTTGACAAATATTTGAACCCTTTTTCTCGCTTTTTTCTTCCGTTTTTTGGCCGCCATAACAAAAATATAAGTCGGAAGGAGAAATGTCATACCTCGTTGAGCTCGTTGTTTAATTTCCAATCTATTGGCGTTCTAAACTGAAAATTTTTTTTTTTTGCCATTTTTCAAAAATAAATGATGTAACCCCTACAAAAAATGCAAAATTTGGTCAAAAAATAAATTTTCATAAAAGTGATGAGGATCGTTAGCATATTTAGCAAGCTGCTCAAAACAGTTGGTCTTTTAGCTGTACGCCTTGATTTAACTGAACTACGATGGAAAAACCGAAAAAAAATGTCGCATTTTTGACAAAAATATGAACCTTTTTTGAAATTTTTGTTATGTAAAACTCAATGATATAAAATATTTTCTATTCTTGCTCTTGGCTTAAATTTCATAACCTAATATTAGTTTAATATGAGTACGACAAAACGGGGATCCACTTTTTATATAAAGTATAGAAACATTCGGATGAGAGTATATTTCCAAAAATGTTAAACTTTTACCTTTATAGTTATAGAAAATCTAGAAAAAGGATTTTTCAAATGTAATTCTTCCTGAACCTTATTGGTATAATTTTTTTGCCGGTGATTGGTGGCTTCGGCAGCCTTTCACAAAGACCCCGGGGCAATTACAGCTGTAGCCAATCAAAAGGGCATTGGTTTTTATGAACTGTTGAGCATCCGAGTGGGAAGACCTGGAACACAACTGGGCAGAGGCGATGGCGATGTCGATGGCGTCACCTGCTGTTCAAATCTTTGCATTGCCAGGAAAACGTGCCTCGGAAAGGCCGAGGAAAACTAGAGTTAAGCATCATGATGCAAGAGAAAGAAAGTTGCCACTCGCGGCTCATAAACGGCAATCTCCTCGAAGACCAAGCCCCTGGGTTGGGGTATTGGCGCTACAAAAAGGGTCCAGGTGCCTGCTCTGGGTCAGGCCGATCCACCAATCAACCAGTCCACCAATGCACCAATCCGACAGTCACGTTAGGGCATGTTAGCCAACCGTCGGAGATCGCCAAGATCCATAATGTAATGCATATTGCCGGGGGTTCGGGTTCGGGGGCCTTTGTCTTTATCGACTGCTCGCTTTTTGACACTAAATTGCCTTGACTAAGTTGAAGTCTCTGGCCCCTAACGAAGTGTGAAAGATGCTGGTCTTTGATTCGCCTTGATTGCCCAACTTGTGGCATGCACGTCCACCGGTCCACCAGTCCCCCAGTCCCTCAGTCCAGCATCCAATCCACACCAGCTTTTTGTATTTTTTCAACTGCTGTGCACCGTGAAGATGTAGTTAACAACGTGACTATGTAATCAGCATCGCTGGAGCCGCTAGGAAGTGGCTGCTCGGAGCTTTCGACTGCTGCCGTAACCGCAAAGTGCAAATGATTTTCACCCCGGCCACTCCTCCTTGGAGGCCAATCTCCGGTCACCATTTGGGCACTGGTCCTCCTCCAACTCCCACTTCGTTATGTTTCTAATCAAATTAATTTCAGCAGCAGCTCATGCCCACGTGTCCGGTCAGCATGGCATATGGAATGGGACTCGGCCTCGTGATCCTCTGGCTGCTGCAGATTGCGCATACGCAGCGTGGCCCCGTGGAGCACATCGAGTTTTACAACGATTACGGCCGAAATCACGACGAGGAAAGGGTGAGTCCAGCAGCTGCTTCGCCACATTGCAGAAAAAGCTTTAATGAAAACTAACAGTTATGGTCCATATTTCTGGAAATCACTGGTAAACTTGTATAATGTTTGATTTAACCAACAAAAACGTGCAAAAATAGTAACTAAAATGTATAGATTGGGAAAAACACTTGATGTAAATTGCATGACCATTTTAGGATTATCAAGCATTTTATTTTATCATCTGAAAAATAATAATAATATCCGTAGTTAAAGAGCTTACTTCTGTAAGCTTTATAAATGATAGTGTAATAAATAAATAATTAAGATACAATTTTTTTATTTTTTATCATTATGGGGTGTTATTTTTAAGATGCCGTTATTCAATACTATAAAATCTATAATATCTTTATATATTTGATAGTTCTGATGCTTCCAAAAACGTTTTCAGTTTAAGACAATAAGGTTACATGTTAAAATACTTAAAATTTAATTTACCGACTGTGATTAACCTTTTCAGCCTAGTTATTTTAATACCACATTTGCTTATTGTTTAAGAGATGCACATATCCTGTTAAATATACTAATTGGTATGGCATCATTTGAACAAATCAAGGGGCTTACATGACACATTTAGATAAAAGATACAATGAAATTAGGAATTCATTCACTAAATATATTTTATAATATTTTCCCCGAACAATTTACCTCACTCTCCACAGCTCCACTACTCGCACCAGTACTACATTTCCGACCTGGCCAGTCAGGTGCACATCCTGCACCGGGAACAGCGGCAGGGTGACCAGGTCTCCGGCTCCTACTCCCACCTGGAGCCCAATGGCCACATCCGCAGCGTGCACTACGAGGTGCGGGGCCCCAATCGAGGATTCAGGGCTGTCGTGGAGCAGCGAACCGGGAACAGTCGGGTGCACCAGGCCCTGGAATTCCGGAGCAGGCAGCCGATCCGGGCTCTGGCCCTCGCCGAGCCTGTGGCATTTGTGATTTAAGACCTCCAGCGGCGTGAAACCGGCCCGGAAAAAAGGAACAGCAAATAACAAATAACAACCAACGACAAGCGAATTATTTGTCTTGTTTTACGCAGTCGTAATTTGCAAAATGTTTAATTGTCTTTCAATGACTTCGCTGACTTGTTAAGTGGATTTCTAATTTGAAATTTAAATTGTTTTCGGGAGGGGCGCATAAAATGTAAACGGGCAATTTTATTAAACTTAAAATGTAAATATTTTGGGGATATAATTCAAGCAAAGACGAATGAATGAATACAAATTATTTTCCCTTTGTTTTGGGTAAACAAAACAAATGCGAGTGACTAGAGGCAACGAATTTCGATTGTTATCTTTGAGCTGCTTTTGTAAAAAGAAATTAATGGCTACCCTTAGCTGGGATAATATCTGTAAGCCCATCTTGTGGCCATGCCTTTTAACTTGAGTAATTGCTTGAGCCACCGAAAAACGGTAGTAAATTAAACACTTTGTATTCGGTACAATCAGCTACCACTGATGTTAGCTCACTTTTCAAGCGTCTGAATATGAATTTCAAGCTTAATTATAATAAATTAACCCCTGTGAAATATTGTTGTTGACGTATTTTTGCGCTACTAAACCCGTTGACAAGCCGAAAACTCGGTTAACGACACCTTAACAAAAAGTCAAAAGGAGCCAAGCGGGGCATAAATCAGATATTTTTGGGCTGCAGAAAAAGAATGATTGTGTTTTTGTTAGCATTTCGTGATAATTATATTGTTTCTATTGCGCCCGTTGACGTCTCGTGGTCACGGTCCTAAGACGCCGCTCTGTGATCACCGATCGGCTTAAATGATGGCCCAGAAGCCGCCGCCGTTCAACGACACCGCTAATTGCCCCGGCTAATTGCCGTATGTTTTGTTGGCACTGCTTTTTGTGCCCAGTTTTGAGTGCCCGGGGCGATAAAAAGCCGTTCAAGAGAGTGCCAATCAGCGGTGGGTCCGTTATTCCGTTTGACAGCTCACCTTGTCCGGCTTGCCCTTTCGTCGACCCTTGGCCTGTGGTCAATTAAAAGGCCATTTAGGCGCCATCTTCTTCGGCGGAGGGAGATTAACCTCTGAAAATCTCTCTGCTTTTATTTGTTTATTTATCTCACATCAAGCTGCCAAGTTCGCGGCCTAAGTCGTTGGCTAATAGCGGAAATTGTTGCCTAATTAGCTTTGTTTGCATTTTCACTAGACCACGGATTTTATGTGAAATGGTTGAAAAGTTTTTTATAAAATCATAAGAGGATTTTCGTTATGTACAAAAATTTGTAATATGATTTAAAAATAAACGATTTAAAAAATCAGACGAGTAATTACCACTTACCAAATAACACAGTTAACCTGAAGTTCGTTGCTTAAGTCTTTTGATTTTAAGGGAAATATTGCCTTGTGCCTTGTAATCAATTCTTTGATGTACCTAACCAATTTATTTAAAGTTCGTTTCCTGAGTCTTTTGATTTTTATACAATTATTGAAAGGTTTAAGGTTATATTTCTCTACTGTTCAAACTCTTCTGCCCAACATTTTCTTCAAAATCAGTAATTTCTGTAATTAATTTAATTAGTATTTACTCCGAACACCCTTTTTGCGATACCCACATTAACTTCAATTAGGTTTAATGAGACCCACCTTCGTTGCCAAATACCTTAATTTTTATTATTCTCTCTATACCCCATCAGTAATTACTTTTATCAACCTTCTGCTGGGATTACCACACATGCCCAAAACAAGTTTGTTGCCTGAGTCTTTTGTTTCTGCGTAGAGTGGTTCCTTAATTTCAATTGCAATGCTTAACACACATGCCCAGGTTCCTTAATTTCGATTAGGTTTTATTATGGGATGTTTAATTTTATTAATAGTTATTTACAACATTGTGGGCAAGTCTTAAAGGTAATGTTCGCTTTAATGTTTTCTTGTTTTTCCTCAGCTGGCAGCGCAGCTTGGACCGCTCAACTGGTCTGCAACGAGTTTCGCTCCTGCTGCAGCTTCTTCACCGCCATCTTCTCCTGCTCCATGCGCAGCTGGAGGAGCTTCTTCTGCTTGTTGTGCTTCTTCAGATGGGCGCTCTTCTCCTCCGCCAGCTTGTAATTGGCAATTGTTGTGGGCTGCTGCGTGCTCGAAGATGTTGTCGTCGATGGGGCAGATGTGGTGCTGTCCGAGGATGGAGGTGCTGGTGCGGGGGTGGTGGTGCTGGTGGTGGTGGTGCTGGTGGTTGTTGAGGTGCTGGAAGTGGTGCTCGTGGCGGACTGGGCCTGCTCCTCGTCGAGCCGCTTCTCGAGCTCCGCCTGCCATTCCAAGGCCTTCTCCTCCACCGGCAACTGCTGCAACTGCAACGAGATGATGCATGCGATTATGACATGGACATGAATGTGGATGTGGATGTGGATATGGCTGAGAATGTGGTTGTGAATGTGGCAAGACGATTGTGAAAGGGAGAGTGGGTATGTTTGCGGTGCGGGGGCGGCTGAAAGGCATTTACAATCTGCAGTGTCAAAAGCGGGGTTCGTGTGTGTCTGAGGTGTCTGGCTTTAATCTCTTGTACAATTTAAATTTAAGTATGTAGTTCTAAATGCATATCAGGTATCGTTATCGCCGCTTCAGTAGCGCACAAATCGCTTGCGACTCTCGTATTGCCTTACATAGTTCCAGGGATACGCGTTCTTGGCCTTCTCGTAGGCCTTGTACTTCTTGGTCTTCGCGTTGTACTTGCCCTGCAGCTTGTCGGGCATCACGATCGCCGTGTACTTGATGCCCTGTCCGGGCACGTACTGGGCGGCCAGGCCCGGCACGGAGGTCACTCCCCCGCTGTAAGAACTGGTGGCCAGCAGGCCGTAGTTGTTGCCCCTAGGCGGCTGGTTGTTGTAGTTGGGCGGAGCATAGGGTCCGGCGGGAATCGCCCAGGTCCTTGGGCGCGAAGGCGGGGGCAGGACGTAGCTGAGGTGAGAGAACCAAATTAGTTAAGATTTTTAAAAGATAATGAGATCATTTAACAGCTAACATGTTTTCTTTGGGTTCATACGAAATTAATCTGAGGTTCAACTGATGTTAGAAAATTGTAGATATATGTTTCTTAAATTATTTTACAATTTTTTTAAACACACCTACGATTAAAATGTACTAAGTCACCAACTCGCTATTATCAATTAATTTAGATTGGATTATCCTGTTACAGAACACTTAAGATCCATAATTTAACATGCATTTTATTTTAAAGCTACATTTAAAATGTATTTTTAAGTTTTTAAAGTTGTTCATACCAACAAATTTTATGTTGACTATGTCTAGAACAAGGTTATAAAGAGTTGATTATTTTTAAAAGAACATTTTGTTCTTTGTTTCCTCTTCTATGCATTAAGACTTAGAGTAAAACTACTTTAACCCAATAATAATAAATATGACTTAACAGTACATTAAAGTTTGCCTATAGACCTCCAAACATTTAAATGAAATTTTAATATAGTACTTAAAGACAGGAAACTTGGCAAAGGCAACAATCAACAATGCTGCTCGTTCTCTATATCATCTGTCTGAAAGCGAAACTTCGAATATACCAGATATTCAATGCATTTATATAAGTAATGTATATAAATTGTCGGCTGACCCTTGCAGCTAGTTTTTCTGGTTGGCGATCGCATCGAAACCCGTTTGCACTTACACATAGGGATTGGGGTTGGGTATGTCATCACTCTGGTCCTCCCAGACGGGCGCTGGATCCCGGTAAGGCTTCTTCGGCGGCTGCGGGGTAGTGCGGGGCGGAGGCGGTGCGATCGGTCCTGGGTTCGTGCCCCAGTCCACCCGGATGGCCTGCGCCTGCAGGCTGAAACTGGCGACTGTGGCGACTAGCAGCAGGCAAGGAGTAAGCTGGAAAACGAGTTTTGATTTTTTTAAATAAAATAAAATATATGTGAGGATCCTCGCCAAAAAGGTGCTTTGCATTGTGTTGTGCTTGGCAAATTACTACACGATTCCATTGCCTGATATCATTGGGAATCAAACACCCCCGATTTTTAGATCAAGATTAACCGATTCGCGACTCAACATCAAACGCCATACAACCCGCTGCGCCTTATCAACGCAACCTCGACTCGATACTCGAAATTCGATGATCAATTAAAATCGCTTTATTTAGACGCATGGCAAATTGGACACAGACTCATTCAAATCAATTTCAATTACAACTTCAGGCAAATAAACACTTTGCACTTGAACTCGATTTGTGTGTATAACTTGAATGTAATAACAATAATTACATAAAAAAATAAAACACTTCTCTCGATAATAAAACAATGTCAAGTGTTAAATTGTTGCAGCTGTTTGAGTTTTTGATTGACTAAAAAAGCGCTCATATATTCAAAGAAACTATTTACTTTATTGTTCGCTGATTGCCTTGCACTTTGCTCAGATGTTTTGGCCTATGAATCGCAATTACCCATAAATATTTATGTCGACTGTTTGTTGGGTTAATTGAATTACCCACTCCAATAAAAGATTTATGGTTGATTAATTACATTCAGTTCAAGTTTTTATTTAATACAATTCCCTGTCGTTTGACACTTTTTATGCGATTCTCAAATCGATTACAATGGACAACAGTGCAGAATGTGGCATTATTTATGGTATATGGATTGGATTGTCGAGTGTTTGCTTAACTAATGAGCCTTGAGGAAGTGTGTGCTCTAGTGCTTTGGACCCCGCCGCAAAACGCACCCAATCCGCAACCGCGGGCAATATAGTATGGGGCTAAACCTTTACGGCCGAATACGGCCATTAGTTACGTCACGGCATAGAGTTATGGCCCGGCCGGGAGGATAGGCATCTGGCAACAAATTTGTCAGCGCAGTAAATGCCAAAAATGGTATCGATAACGCTGATGTATGGATACCATCTGTTGGCTCGGCTTAGGACAACCCGAGGTTTATTTTTATTGGCCAATTTCGAGAGGCTGGGATTCTTGCGCCGACTACAAATCGATCTATTTCGATGGCGATTTTTCTCATGATTGACAATCCAATTGATTAATTGTGCACTAATTTTAGGTTGAACTGGGTACACAGAAAAAATCTGATGATCGAATTATCGACAATGTGGAATACAAAAAGGACCTTATACTATTATGGTTTCACGAGTTTTTTCCCATTTTTATTTATTTTATAAATTTCAAGTCAACAAGTTTCAAGATATGTCATAATATAACATTGACAGCCAAAACATTATGCAATTCTTTTCGGGGTCCAATCTTTTGTCCATAAATTAAACGTTTGACATCAGCATAACCCCAATGTGGGATCGTGAGGTGGCTAATACCAGCAATTACGTACAACACTTGCCCCGAAGAGGCAGCGGTTAAACTGTCAGCGGGCCCGACTATCCCCCATTTTGGCTAATTGATTGACAATTTTGCATTGACAAGCATTTATTTGCTATGCACAATGCATATTGGCATAGAGCCGGCGGTTGCAGCAATACCAGTTCGCCGATCGACTCTGTCATCGCTTTTTGTGCAATCATAAAAACAGGCAGAAATCAAGGCCGGCATTAACGATCGATGCACAGTACATGCCAAGTTTTTGCCCGCTATCCCAAATCCATGGTAGAGGTTGTCATAAAAGTAAGGTGAAGCCGAAACGAGTCCAGAAAGCAAATGACAGGTTTCTCATTTATATAAGAAGAGATTGGATCTGTCAAAAACTTTCGGTTTCAGACGGATTTTTAATTGCCTGAACCATTACCTTAAGCTGCCTTTTAAGACCCTTTCGGAATGAATATTAAAAACCTTTAATAGTACGTTCTTGAAACAGTATTCTTTACGCACTGATCCTCCAGAAAAAGATACCACTCCTTTATAGTTATACTTAGTTACTAACGAAGTAACATGATCTCATTCTAAAAATCTAATGATATTGTAGAATCTGTCTTTATAAAACATTTATCTAACGACATTTGCGTTTATTTTGATCAATTTTTCGGCGTGTGCTCGATCATGGCGTTCGAAGGCATAATTCCGAGGCAGAAATCAAAGCGGTGCGGACAACTATTCCGATTCAGCGCGATCTCAACACGTTTCGCTCCGTTTTGAAAACCTTTTAATGGCTCCAGTTTGACAAGACCTGTTATTAGAGGCATGAGAAGCCATAAGCTCGGATTTGTGTAACAATGGTCGCCCTGCTGGCAGTGTCACTTCCGACAGACAAAATAGCTGACCCTGAACTTGAGTGGATGGTTTATGGTAGATCCCACAGCGAATTGAGATTTTCTCGTTTATTTGTTTTTTTTTGCCTGGCTTCTTAATGGCTTCAGAACTGCGTAGTCGGTTGAACGAACCCGAGTAATTGGAGACTCTCCTTTGGGTCGTAATACCGAATCGGAATACTGGGCACTCCTCTGCGGTCCAAAACGATCTTGATCTGGTAATCTCGTAATGGTAATGAGCGGCAGCCGCCCGCGGGCGTACCAAAATTCTGCTCACTAATTAAAAACAATCAATAACGACTAAGTAAACGCCGCTCCACACGGTCGGCATTGCACCGCATTATCATTATCTTTGATTAACGCAGTTTAGACCGAAAATAATCATTTATTATCAAGCTGACTCGCTGGGCTGCAGTTATGTTTTCTGCAGCGTGCTTTGTTCGAATCTGAAATTAAGTGCTTAGACAAAATATTTTTGCGAAATTTTGTGCAACCAAAAAACAAAACAGAAACCAGCTCGTGCTTATGATGTTTTTTGGGTCAAGCTTAGATTTTATTTAATGTGGCTAAAATTAAAGAAAAGCCTCCTTAGCCAGCCGACTTAGTGTGGATTGGAGTTGGATATACCGGCTCTTGGTGTGGTGTGGTTTCCAGCTGGATAAGTTGCCTGAGATCTGTGATCTCGGCCTCTTAAGTTATTGTAAATCTCTTTTATTACACAACATTATCGAAAAGGCGAAGCAAAGTTTAACGCTTGCATTTTGGCGCGTTCAAATTGTAATTCGATAATAAGTATGCCATAATCATTTTAAAAACGCCTTAATTGAAATAATTTATATTGGCTCATGGGGGTACCCCTCACAATAAGTTCGATATGCCTGGTTGGTCGTGCGGGCCGAGAAACTGCAGCTTAATTATGAATATGGGGCATATGTTTTTCAGTTACCATTTGTGAATTGCATTTTTGCAATGCGGGCAAAAGGCGAAGCCCCCAAATAAAAACGATAATGATAAATGGCATTCCCCTAGCTTTCAAATCGTGTCAAGAGTGGGTGATGAAAGTAAGTCAATGGTATACAGCCGGTAATTCCACAATTATCGAAATCTGACTATTGAAAGCAAAGGAGAGATGCAAAGCACAGATCATTCATCACTCAAAGTGATTTCAACAAAACTCAATGGCTGATAGGCGGCAGATAATGAACTGTCTTCGAAAGATAGAAATAAAGAGGGGATTACTCCAGTTATGGCGTTGTTATTAAAGCCCACAATCGATTATGCTCTTTGGCCTTATATTTAGCTTTTGAAAAGGTCTTGAGAAGATAATCAAGCGATCACGACTGGAAATGGGTAACGAAATAAGATGATAATTTATTACAAAACGATTATACCAAACAGTCGATCGAAAAAATATTAGCATAAAGAGATGTAAAACAAAACAAACAGATCATTAAAGATTATAATAAGAAGACGTTCCAAATATTCCACTCCACTTCCTATCTTTTAATTTAATCTTAAGCCTTTAATTAATTTAAGTATTTGGATGAATTTTTACTATAAGGCCTACATATTCCCTGAAAAACTGTTGTATAGTATACAAAATCTAATAAAAACAACTGAGGAACTATCTTCTTAAGAAATTCTAATGATCAATCTTAACACATTTGCAGCCCTATACTTTAATGACTTGCTTAGCTAATTGATCGTGATAAAAGCTATTCTTTATAGAGGATTTTCCAAGCATAAACTTAGCTTAGTCATAGCGAGTAAGTAACATCCGCCTAAAGCAATTACTATCCCCAACAAGCTGGCAGAGCCAGAATGCTGATCAGATCTAAGCCGACTTATATAGTGCTTTATCAATCGGTGCCGCATATGTGGGTGGCTGTTAGGGTCTGCCCAACGTTAGCGTGAAAATATCATCCATAAATCTGGCTGCCAGTTGCCGCGCCGTAGGTGATCATTAAATTTACATCTTAATGGCTTCTGGTGCAGAACGCGAAGGAGAAGACATCCGGCAGATCACTGAACTGGGTCCAACTATGGTGGCCAAGTGGCCAGTAGCTAGGTGACCTTCACTTCAAGTCGAGAATCATAAATAAAGGGTTCAAGAATGACTTCATCTGCCCGATGTTGAACAGCCGAAGCGTGTCACGTAATTAGCCTTAGCTATTTTTTTACATTGCGCTCTCATTTGCATATAAAGCACGGGCCTAGCCTCCGATTCAGGTTCAGAATGAGATTCAGTTTCAGTTTCAGTTTCAATTCAAGTTGTCGTTCTACCAGTCCAGAGGCACATATCCATCTTCATCAGTCTAGAGACTCCATAGAGGAGAGGTTCAAGGTCCGGCAAATTGTCGCTCGTTCAATGCAATGGCAGCCGTTAACCATCCATCAATTAAGCAAACTAACCTTGATAAATCGCAGAACAAACAACAGCCCCCCATCCGCATCCCCACCCCCGAAATAAAGCGCATTAAGGGGCTAGCTAGCGTTAAATTTGAACATGACTCTTTGACGCCAAATCATTATTTCGTGGCTGTAGTTTCGTTTTATTTCTTGGCTGCGCTCGTTTGTCACAGACCCACAAACTCGTTTCCATTTTCATGTTTTCTACCAGCTTAAAATCATTTGTTCGACTTATTTTGTCTGGCTGCCATTAGATTCGGTTTTCAGTGCATTGATACAAAGTGTGCACAATGAACCGGGTGTGCAAAAACCAAGTGGAGGTGAAGTACCGAAAACAATATCGGTGTTAAGCTTCCTCATCAGTCTGATGTCTGCACAGCGAGAAATGCATGTTCATTTATGATTGATTGGTTATGTGATTTTATATATTCTTTTGCCTTGAAATTGTACTTCATTGCTATCTTATTTTTAGATATATATATGTTTTTATAACCTATAGCTATAGGATACACCTCCCACTATGTGCCAGGATCTCAAAAAAATCCCTATGATGGATCGCGTTTAATTTAATGCAACATTTATCAAGAACTCTTAAAAGTTTTTCCTACATACCATACCATGACAATAGAATATTTGTATAAGCCACTCCTAGAATGTTGGGAATTCCAGAAGCTAATATATTTTTAATGATCCTTAAATGATAATTACTGTTTGAAAATACTTATATCTAATAGTTTCCCGTGTGCATTTCAAGCGATATTTCGACATAACCTTGTGCTGGGAGATCGGCACACCAGCTCTTCAGATCTGTCGGTTCGGTGGCAGATGTGTCTTGAGTTATGATAGGTGATTGGCAGCGATTTGTCTTGGTTTTCGGTGAAGGTGCCTGCCTGGCAGACGCATTATCGATCGCTTTTTGAGGCTAACCCAAGTGTTTCTAGTTTCGAAATTTAGAATGTCTAGTATCGTTTTACAAACTGAAGAGTTTAAATGATTTGAAGATTTTTTAACAGCTACAAAGAGCTCTTAAGTATCGACATATTTCAAGTTGATATGTATAAAAGATTATCTGTGTGGCTTTCTCCCCCTCCAATATCCAGTTTCCCCGGCCAAAAATATGCTATTTCTCATTAATGAAATCTCAGAATTTGCATACTTTCCCAGGCAAACAAATAGTTGGCTAGAAGACCAGTATGATTATGCACTTTGATTAATTGCCACACTGTTCCCATGCTATTTTAGATTTCAGAGGAGTTCAGCCCAAGTCAAGTCCATATCCATAACAAAAGAATAATAAACAATAATCGATGGCCAAAAAAGTGATTTGCAAATCGAACAACCAAAATTTATAAGCAAACCAGACGTGGGAGTCAATCAGCCGCGCAAACAAAAAAATGGTTAGAAAAAAATTAATCAGAAAATATTAATAAATAAGTAGACATCATGTTGATTTCAATTACGCTGGCAAAATGCGCATTTTGAACCTGCTGCCGCAGCTCAATGGGGTTAATGAAATTTCAATTCTTTTCAAAAGCCAATTTCTTGTTCTTCTCTTTATTTTTTATGACTGCGTAGGTTTTTCGCCTGACCATGGTGAGTAGGTGGATTCTATTTACAAGACGGGCATTGTCTTGCCATCGGAATTGTTCCCAGACAAACCGACAGAGCAGGGCAAACTTGACCTTTTTCAGTACTCAGTATACCCAGTATCTCAGATTCTGAGATGCTGAATTTGCTGATTTCACTCGCTCGGACACAACATGCAAGGGGCGTGGTCGGCTTTTAATTAACACAAAAAATTGGCAAATTAAATACTCGTACTTTGCTCGCTTACAAACTCGACAAAATAAATGACTCGAGAAGCGGTTACAGAAGCTGAGGCAGCATCTCGAGTGTTGCGTAATTCATTAGGCATTCAGATAAACACGACTTGCGAACTAGATTCCCAGTTTCTCAAGGAGATAGCTCAATGACTTCCCATATATGTATGTATATCCTAACAACTTTGATTGACTTTAAATTAATTTAATTTAATTTAATTGTAATTGATAGCATAGTAATTTTAATTGGTTTTAAAATATAATAAACTGATCTAACGATTACCTATAAATAATATAAATAACTATATATTATAATAAATCAGGGCATTTTTTTAAATTTGTTTAAAATGTATTACTAAGGAACTACATTTTTTATTATTTATTAATTTTAACATGATAAATTTAAACTTAACCGATTGCCAAATTCTTTTGCCATTTCGTATCGAACCCAAGAATGTTAAAGTTCGCTCAACTCCAAGGTGGAACCGATTTTGACAATGGTATCACTGGGAGATCTCCCCGAAATGCTTCAGCAAAGTCATTCATTCTGGACATTCCGAAGGGGCTGCCAGTTTTTCTGGGCTGGAGATCTACATCACCATAAATATGTCCCAGGGAAGGCTCGAGGGCACCAAAGTGTTTGCCAGTTAGGCATTTCTGGTTTTTTCGGCCAGTTTGGCCAGTTGATTGACTCCATCTCGATAGCAGACGCTCATTGAATTTCTGGCATTTTGGGCGGTTAAGTTTCGCAAAGAAAAATGGAAAATAACGTAAAGACCGAGGAAAAAACCTTCGAGACGTAATAACTTGCATTTTGAGTAGGGCACTTAATGCGTCTCAGTGGTTTTTCATTTTTTTTGTTTTACTAGGACCGACTAACCCGGGCGCTAATCATAAATCTCAACGCAACTGCAACTCAAGACGCCTAATCAACGGTTACCGAACCAAAAGTTAATGTCTGTCAGCCAGTTAAGTGTCTTGAACTTTTAGCCAGGAATGTTGTGAAAATGGGAAAAATAAATAAATCGAAACGAATCAAGCAGCGAATCGAGTTAAATCAATTCCAGCCCAAACAATGGCCCAATGGTCAAGACAATGGTTTTTCAAAGTTTTGTGTGTTCAGGAGGTCAATGTGCTACCGTTAGCGTTGAAAATGTTTTTTTTTTATGGAGCGTGGCCAAAGTTGCATTTGATTGTTTTGTAAACAAACCGAAAATCGGCTGTTAATTTGTATAATTTGTGCTTTGTTTGGCTGCTGCATAAAATCAGCATTAAGTCATGGATGTAATGCAGATATACTGAGTGATTTGTCAATAGCTGAACCCGTAATTTGAATCACAATGCAAAGTGCTGACTGATAAAATGCACGCCCTACCAGGTGCTGGAAGAAATATTTACCTATTTATAGTATTTAATTTGAGATGGATTATTTGAGCATACCCATTTCGTTTACGGAAGTCGTTTAAATTAACAAATTGCATTTTAATATGATTATGCTTTGCTGCGGGCTCGTTGTCTGTGGCGAATCGCCAAAAACAGAATTATAAAAATAATCGAACACGTTAATTACTTAAATGATGTTGCACAAATATTGTTTTTTTGCCTGGCTGGCGTATTTTGACAATTAATGACGCTGATTTCACTCAGGCCATCGCAGAGGGATTTCATTTCCGGTGAGACATCGGCTTAACAAAATGTACAAACAAGAGTTGGAAAACAAACTGGCCAAAGAACAATGCGTATGTAATATAAATAAGAATCGACATCAAACCGCACTCACATGGCCAATTGTGGGTCAATGCCTTTGTCAACTGCAGTTTCTGTATTTTGCCTACAGAAAGAGTGGTTTTATTTGCCCTTGGCGGTGCAGCCGAGATTATGGGAATCCGAAACACATCCGATTACATTGTGTTCTTTAATATCTAGCAAATATGATGCAAAAGCTGGAAATGAGCTCAGAGAAACGCTGGCATACATTTCTAATTGATTTGCATAAGTTTCTGCTAACTATTAATTTTAATTCAATATATTCTAATTTGTTATTCCTATTTCACAGAAGATTTCAGATTTTTAGAAATTTATAATACGTTTCTTAGAGTGAATCCCCATATAAAAAGGCAAACGTTTTCAAGAACCCTGATTAAACATTATCATTTCCTAATTTTATTACGCCCTTAAATATTTATAAAGCGATATCTGAATAAATTCTTATTTATTTTAAAGAATTCCCATATTTATATATTGTATACCAAAGTATATATTTATATTTGCCATCTTATAAGGCAAGGTCCATTGACACGAATGCCTGGGATTGCTCATGCGTTGATGCGAAATTTATGCAGTTGCCAAGACTGTGTGTCAATTTCGCTGGCTGATCGCGCTTGCGATTTAATTATTTCAAAAATTATGTGAGAGCAAACACAGAATGCGAGAAATGCATAAATACCTGCATTGATTACCCCCAAAAAACACGAGCCAATCGATTGCCGGGCCACACGTGTTTGAACTCAATTACGGCACGGAAATCGTCTTAAAAATTACAATAATATATAATAATAAATATGTGTACTTACCATTTTGTGTGGATTGGATACGGTCAAATGAAACCCGAAACTTCTAAGTCGTTTAACTGGAAAAATATTGGTTCAATTATTGAAAGGTAAGGCATGAATTTTACTACAATCACTTTTTTGTTGCACTTGAAGTTTTTGCACAGAAAGTTGTTCGGCTGTCCCCTAGAAACAGATTTGTTACTAATTTAAACCGATCAACTGGTCAGCCTCAATCGGAAAATCACAAATTAGAAATCAGAAGTCACTTCCATTAACAATCGGGTAGAGCCTGTATGCCTGAGGGCACATACTATATAGTAATTGTAGACGACACTGGCATATCGAATGACGTGTGGGACAATATCGAATCAAATCAGATTTAAGGTAAATATCAAATGGAACGGCGACCGCTCATTATGCAATCCCCTTACTTAGTTGGACCCTAGTGAATGGTTACTTTTGGCGGTGATTGTGTGTCGGCGATGACGATGACTTTTGGCGTCTCAATTGCCAGTGTGGTGTGTCTGTCCACGGCAGCATTTTGGCTTTCTGGCGGGGATCGAGATCGAGATCGAGATTCGTTCCACACATGGCCAATGGTTAGTGGCCAATGGCCGGTGGCCAGCCTGATAAGAGGGTACTTTTCATTCGACTCCGGCGAGGGGGTGTAGCGCACGATCTGTCGCGCATGCGTAAGCCATGGAACCAATTTAAATGACCATTTACCATTTTCATGAAAATCTTAGGTACGGTTAATTTTCAATTGCCTTTGGCGGCTCTGGGGTCTTTTTGGCCACACAGTGTCGCAAAAGGTGGAGCCAAATGCGAGCCACATGCCACGCATTTTAAGTGCCGTCGAAGTACCAGGCATTTGCCATCGCACATATCCGAGGAAGAAGGCGTGCCAGTATGTGCTGTCCAGCCAAAAATATCAAAAAAAGCAAATAGAAGCCGGCCCATGTCACGGCTAACAGTTGGAACGTGACTATGTTGAGACGTACTCTCGGATTTTAGGCGTCAGAACTGGAGGTCACCGCGTAGAATCTCTAGCAAAGCCAAACCCGTTTCAGGCTGTAATATGCCTGCAGATCAGGTGACCTTAGAAGCGAGACTTGTGGCCAATTTAAGGAACCATGATATGTGCATACATTTAGCACTTAAATTTTATAGAGCCGACAAACTAGTCGGAGAAGATGCTACGACGTCTGGTCTTGGCAAATGCAAAACCAATTTGCGCAAATTAACAAGGTCTTAAAATCATTGGCAACACCCCGCCTCAAGTACCCACAATTACCAGGCTACGCCAGAGAAAACATTTCCGGCACATTAAACGGAAAAAACTATACGGAGATAAAGGCAAACTAAATGCGAGGTGGCTGCTCATGATAATAATAATAATAGGCGGCCTGTTCAAAAACTCATTTCCAAGTTGTTGCATTTAAAGAGGCCATAAGCGTTTCTCTGTTTTTTTTCCCTTCCATTTATACTATTTTATTTTATTTCGGCTGAGAGTGAAAAGTCATGGGCGAGGTTTAATTTATGGCAGCTCGGGAAACAGATTTTTCTGCAGATTGGTTATGCATATTTTTCGTCTTTTTTTTGGGGTATTTTGACAAATGCCTTCAAGTGTTTGGTGCGTGCAAAACGGCGGACCGCCTTCAATTTTATTTATCTCCTGTGGAATTGATTTATTTATTTGCATAAATTTAACACGCCTGCGACAGCAGCTGCGCAGCCTGCAGGCCATAAATTGTCTGCATTGCAGCACGCAAGTTCGTTGCCTGAGTCTTTTGTTTCCCTTGCCGATTTTAACGATCCTTTTATGTTTATTTTTATTTTCATGTTTATCTTTGCTTTCTTGCACTTAAGAACTTCACAACACACGTATGGGAGTATTTTAGCACGTTTGCCTCATCAATTCACACTGCACATACTTCGCTGCTGCTGCTGCTGATCTCTGGAGGATATATATGGTATGGATATATACAGTATGTAGTAGGGATCTCGAGATCGAACCGCTGCTCTTGCGCTAAGGCGTGACAAAACTCATTGAAGACACGGGCCACACTGAAAGCAGCGAATGTGGTAGCATCAGCACAAAGTCTCCGTCTCCCTGCGCTGGCCATCAGCTGGTTTGCGAATCAGCCAGACTGCTTCGAGCCAGGCCCGAACCCCAAAAGCCGAGCCCGAACCCCAGCTCGGCTGCTTTTCGCTTTGTTTTCTATTTTTCAGCAGTGTTTTTCTCGCTTTTTGTTTAAAGCCAGCAACATGTTGCTAGGGCCGTTTCCGGCAGGGGATTCTTGCAACATGTTTCCAGTGCTGGGAGTACACGGCGTATACGCGATATTAATGATGTTAATATTATTTATTAGGAAGTATTAGTCTGCTAATTCAATTGTTATGACCTATGCACCAACGTTTTTTGTTCATATTAAATTTAATTCTTGGAATTCCGAAAATTATTATTATCTGTGTTTATTGAGTCATTAAATTTGAGCACCTACATTTAATTTAAAGCTTTTAATTGGTTTAAGTTTAGTAGGAAAATCTTTTAAAAATAAAATAAATTATCCTGAAGTTGTTCTTAAATGGCTTTACATTTTTAAACAGGCCTATTGCTAATCATCTAAATACATGTTTCCCTTGAACTTTTAAACTTCCAATGCCCACAGATTTTTACGAGCTAATTTTACATTTTGTTTATATTTAAAAAACAAAATACATTATTCTTCTTCAAGCAAATATAATCAATATTCAGACACATGTTTAATAAATTAAGCCAAGCTAATTTATATCGCTTCCGTTTTTCATTTTAATGACCCAAAATGTTGTTTTGTTGATTGTGCTTACAGCCCAACTGAGCAAATATTTTGCTGTACCGAATAATGCATTAATAATTAATTAATGATTTATTTAACTTAGAAATATTTAATAAATTAAGCAATGCTAATGCATTTGATATGTTTATGAATTGTTATTGAAGTAATTCAATTATAATGAATAAATACAAGTGCTGGGAAAATAATTACTTTTATAAACGGTAATTAGCATTTATCTCACAGGCCTTTATGAGTTATTTGAAAGCATTAGAGGTTTTGATCAAAATATTTAAATCTGAGAGATTGGTAACTTAATTCTCCATGATTTTCCTTTCGATGTCGTTCGGAACCGGCTTTTGCTAGTAGGCCTACGTGGAGGTGGGTCATCCCTGACCTCTTTCAACAAGTCACTCGGTGATAACACACACATCTGTTCGCCGAGCCACACTGAACCACAATTGAACGTGGCATTACGGAGAGCGATTACGTGAGCGACATTGAAATCGGATATAGTGTGATATAGTCTGAGGCGGCTCTGAGCTCTTTACGCATGAGCTGAAGGCTGACGTATTTTAATTTCTTTCATTAAACACTTCAATAGCCCCCACAGCGAAGTGGTTGTCCCCATCAATTTGATTGGATGTCAACCGAGTTTGATTTTATTGGCTCCTAACTTAATGAGGCCCCAGACAACACTCGTTATAATTATCGTTCGCCTTATGTCAATGCAAAATACTGCTGTTTCTGTATTCAAAACATTTAATTTTATTTTATTTTATGGTTTCACAATGTGTCGCTTAATGGAAGATCTGTTTCCTCATTAAGACATGAAATTATGCTAAGTGATTCTGGGCGATTTCGGCGCGGCCTTTTGCGGCCAGATAGTTCAGGTCAATTAAATTGTAAATGCAATTAAAAAGCCATATCAATCAGTTTGCCTATCGATTAGCATACACAAGTTTTTCCAATTATTTGTATGTCTGTGTGTTTAAGTTCGAATAGTAAATCAACAGAAATGTCTGTTAAGATCACTTTGGTCTGACAAGTTGCCTTCGGTATGATATGGTAAGTTACACTGGAAGAAATAAGATGCCCTTAAGGTTTACCATCTAAAGGCAAATTATTTTAGGTACCATAAGTTGTGAAGATTTTAATATCAGCTCATATTTGATTTGATACCGTAACTACCTGTAATGTATCCTATTGAAATTAGACTTATATAGTGAATATATTTCTTATGTCTACCATTTCCCTCTCTGCACGTCGTGGTTCAGTAAAGTGTGTGGTGCAGTGGGGCGGTGATGGTGGTTGGGCTGTGGAACTGTCTTTGGTCTGCTGTGATCATTGCTGGGCAAAACAGGTCTTTCAAAAGATTATTATCGCTTTTATGGTGTTTTTATCGTTTTTACAGCATTTTTTATGTCTTTATGATTGATCTGATGAAGTTTTTAGTTTTTGTTCGCTGTTTTTTCGGGACTAAACTGCTGCTGGTCTTTTACCGATTTTGGTTTTTTTGGTGAGAGTGTGGGAGAATTTTGCTAGGCGCACTAATCTGATGTGATAATTTTAATTTTGATAAATTACTATTGAAAGTGAGCGGCTAATATATGGTAATTCTATTTTAAACCAGTGCGGGATTGGAGTGGATTTGTCGGCGGAAACTGGGTTAGGAACCGCACCGTTATCGGGGGCCCAGCCCAACTCCACCCAGTTCTAAAGACACGGCTCATATTTCTGGTTTCTGGGCTCGCAACTTCGAATTAATCTGTCAACGGCTATCGACGGCCGATCTGAGGACAGCTACCCGGTTACCCTGTGCCCCATATGCAGTTACAGATGAATTAAACATGAGCCGTTCCGATCCGATTCGATCCAATCCGATCCTAACCGCGGGGCAGCCACCAAGTTTCGCATTGTTTTCCCTCACCTGTCATAATTCCTACACGGGGACATCTAACGAATGCCACCTAGACATCGGCCTACGAATTCTCATATGCAAATGCTGAATGCTGAAAAATTGATATTGAACGCCTGACTGACGCAGCAGATATAAAGTGCACTGGGAGAATATATTTAAGAAATATAAAAATATTTAAGAATTTCTAAATATTTTTTATAGTGCTTAAAGTATGTTTTAGTATAATAAGATATATTACCAATAAGTTTACTTTGTTTAAATTCGGTAATGATCACGTTCCGAAGAACAAAATCAAAGTCGCGTGGCACTTGGTTTTATGGACGTTACGCATCTTAGCATTAATGAAGTCCCTGCATGTGCCACTCCAAAAATGAGCTTATTTTTTCGCATGTACCCATGTGCCAGAACCCAGCTCCGATCCGGGGGCAATCGGCCGCAAAAAGTCACAGCCAATAACCCAACTCAATGCCTTCGGAACGGAGCTGATCGGAGTGAATCGGTTGGATTGAGTGCGGTTCATTTATCTTTATTAGGAATGGCAATTGGCAACGCTGCAGATAACAGACAAAAGGCAATGGAGGGTCTCTGGGAGGAAAGCCCCCCGCGATTACGAGTCATTTGTAATATCTCCCGAGGTGATACGCTCATTAAGTTAGTTGTTTATGTAACACATTTCTGTTGCCCATAAAACAAGATTTCTAAATGGCCCCGCACCACTTTGCATTTGCACACAATTAAGTGCAATAATTTATGATAAATTGCCATTTAATCAGAAGAATAAAAGCCAATGTCAGACCGAGCCCAAGCAATTTCTTTTTTAATTAACAATATGCTAATCGATGGGGCTCCCTTTTTCAGTATCAGTTTCGATTTCAGGTTCAGGTTCAAGAAACACTGGAACTAATTTGCAGATCGGCGAAAGAAGGAATTATTATCGGGATTTGCCAATAAAAATAATCCCCACGAGGGCTGTCAAGTGTCGATTGTGTGGCGGCATCGGGCGTATCGGATATGATTGAACGAATAATTAATGGCCGGGGATTAGCGACAAGTACAAGCCACACTGGATGGATGTGGATGCTGTACCGCCGCGGGCAGCAAATTAATCAGCATCGGTAGACGAAACGGGTGTGTGGGTGTCAAGATGGAGATACGTAGAAATACGAATGGAGCTGGTTCTGAAAGGAGTTTGTCATAGACCGAGCCACTCAAAACAGCTCTATCTACATCCATCAAGGCCAAAAGCTTGGCTGTCGAATTCGATATCCTTGCCAGAACTGCGGGTTCAGCAAATGCACGCACATAATATTTTTATTAATTCCATAACCTGTTCAGCATTAAGTTCATTGTGGCTATACACCATATGCAAAACACCAGCTGGGGCCAACGACCTGCTTGGCCAGCGTCTAATTATAACCCGTGCATATTTCCGACTAAAATTAGCTCTTCATTCAAAAAAACACATGTTTAATAATCATATAAGCATAACAATGACAAAAACTAAAAGGAAAATGCATTTCCAAAACAGGAAAGACAGCGACACACATATGCACACGGATAACACGATAAAAACCATTATAAAGAGGACAAAGAAAGATTTGAAGTTTTACAAATACGACAATGGCAATCCCCGGATCCGGATTCGTACCCGCATCCAAATCCTACTCCTGCTGCACCGCCGTCTCCTCCAGATTGCAGAAGACGTTGCGCATCTTGTCCAGATCGGGTGGCGCCGTGTCCGGATTCCGGATCCACATGATATAGGCCTGCTTGTCGGTACGCGTCAGGGGCTTGAAGTTGCGAGGGTTCTGGGCCTCCTCGTCCTGCAGCTTGGAGTTGTAGCGCGCGTAGAGGAAGATGCGGTATCGCCAGTTGTCAAAGGTCTGCTTCCACTCGGTCACGTGCTTCACTGCGCCCTGGGGAACGGCGTTCAGCAGATTGGCCAGTTTCAGCCAGTAAGGATCTAGCACCGGATCGTTGCGACGATGGTCGTTGATGAACTGGTGCTGCTGCAGGAAGTGCACATACAGCTCCTTCTGCCGCTTGGACATGCGCTCCTTGCGTTCTGTGGGCGAAAAATCGGTTGGGCACTAATTAACAACATTGTTCAGCAATCCAATCATTAAAAATATTTAAATAAGGTTATTCAAGTGTATGCTTAAATTAATGCTAATATTATACATCTGATAAAATTGGAATGCGCTCAAATGGTGTCCGTGAAACCGAATTTACACTCTGCGTTTATTTATGGATTTCGCGTTTTGAATACATTGTGCCTTAATGGAAAATCGTAATTATTACATTAAAAAATATATTTTTTATAAAATATATTTATATGGTGATAATGATTGGAATAAAATTTGACATATCTTAAAACAAATTTGAAAGTTTAAATTCGATAGCTTGCAAACTGTAATGAAAGAGGCGAAGTAATGGCTGGCAAAGAATGTATACAGTGGGCAAAAAAAATATTAGTACAAGTTGTACTAACTTTTTTTACCCCCTTCATTTCAACACAATGAAGAAAGATGCTGAAACTACTGAAATTATAAAACCATATCCCATTTTTAATTGAATCCCCAAAAATTCAAACCAAGTTCACGGGAAGAAACAGATCAGTAAGCACAAAATAAATTCTAGCATCTAAAAGTCAGTACGCAGGGAGCTTTTACTTTTTGAGAATTTAATTTCACAATGTGCCAACGCTGTAAGGACGGCTGTTCTTGCCCTAAAAATTGGTGGTGGTATGTACTTATTGGTTTACTTGCTCTTCCGGAAATTGCTGCGATGTTATATATGATGTTCAGATGGTGAGAGTCACTGCTGAATTTTACAATGTAAAATGTTCGCATACTTCATAAAATATCTTATAATCTCGATGGGATATTGTTCCTTTATGGGTAATTGGTAAGTTAAAAACAATATTTTATTGATATATTTTTAAAGTATACAAGAGGGTGCTTTAAAGACCCTTTAACATCCTTATATTTTACCAAGTCACAGTCCTTACAAATAAAGATCATTAGAATGTTTCTTGTTAAAATAACATAAAAGGAGGTGGAATACCTAAAAATGTATTCTTATTTTATTTAAAAGTAAAACTCCAGTTTAAAAGATTTTTGAAGAACCAAAAGCTCTAAATCGCAATATTAATACTTTCTTCTCGGGTTAACGCAATATTTGCGAAATAAAACGTCTCAGTCAAATGCTTCTTGTTTTTTTAAACCTAGTTCACAGGAAGAAACCCTTCAGGGAATAATAAATAAAATCCAGTCAAAGACAGTATAGCTAAATAGTTATATTTTTCAAAATTCGATTACACAATGTGCCATCGCACTCCCGAGTGCTGTGCCAAGTTCTATCCAATATTTTGTATCGTTGTTGGTGTGCTAAGTATTCCCTTATGGATTGGTACATATTTCTCTACTCGGGCACAAATTGGTAAAGGGGTGGATATCTATGTTCAAAGGATTCAAATTCTTTGTATTGGCAATGCCATATTCAGCGTATTTTATTTTGTCGCTGGAATATTGATGTTTTTTGGTATAAAATTGGTAATACAAAATCGTTTATATTAAAATCAACAATTTTTGATTGCCTTTTTTTTCCAAAGGATAAGAGATCGATGTTTAAGGCAGGCAAAATCCTCAGTTATTTTTTCCCATTTTTAAATGTTCCCATATTTGCATGTAAGACCCTCTTTTATACATGGAGTAAGCAAAAAAGTATAAGTTAAACTACTTTTCCTTTCCGTTCATACATTAGATATCCACTGTATGGCTATCAGACAACTTTGCCGTTATGATCGTGAACGCTGGGGATAGCTAATGGTCAAAACTCCCCGTTTTCATCTGGATTTATATCTTTGTATTGCACTGCTTGCAAAAGTGAGTGACGTGGGTGGATCCAGGCTGACCCAAATATATAACATTCGATCATTTTGGCATCCAAAAGGAATTAAACATTTTCAGCAATAAACGTTTAAACGTGTTTTTCGGATTGTACTAGTTATGGCAAAGTACATAAATAAATATTAAATGTTATTACATTTTTTTTGTTTTATATTAAGTATTAAAAATGGGATTGTTTTCTTTTTTCCCCGATATTTGTACTTCTAATTCCCAACTGGTATTAGCGATTCAAGTACCCTTTAGGCTGACATTGGATAGGTAAGATTACTTACGTCGAATGTTGTTTGTTGTAGTCGTGCCTATGGCGATATTTGTTGTTTGTTGAATTTGTTGTTGTTGTTGCTCCTGCTGTTGCTGTAGGAGAGCTAAATGGTGTTGTTGTTGTAGGTGTTGATGTTGCTGTTGCTGTTGGATAATGTACTCTTGTTGGATGATGCGCTCCTGTAAAATATGTTGCTGTTCCTCCTGAAATATAAATATCGGGCAACAAACTGTAATGCGATAGATTTGTATAAAAATGATTTTAAGAAAGTAAACATAAAGCCAAGATATATATAAACCTTTTTTTAACATTTGACCTGGCAAATTCAAACTCTTTTATTTTTTCTATGTTACCCACGGATCCCTACATCCCGACTTACCTCATGTTGCTGCTGTTGCTGTTGCATATGTTGGTGATGAGAGGTGGGTGGCGGTGGAAGCGGCAAGGCCGCGGGCAGAGGCAAAGGCGGTGGAGGAAGCGGCTGCGAGTGCGGGGAATCCGGCAGCTCGTCCTGCGTGTCGTAGTCCATCTTGGGCGAGCAGGCCTCGTAGGCGGGCATGCCCAGCTCGGCCGAGGCAGCTCCACTGCTGGCCTTGTCGATCCGGTACTTCATGCTCTCCTCGTGCTCGTGCTCATGATCGTGATCCTCCTCCTCACAGGGCGGCATTGTCATGATCGGAGTGGGCGCGGCCTCCATGACATTGCTGGGCTGGCACAAATTGGTTGGCTCCTCGGGCGTCGGCGAGTCGTTGAGCATTTTTTGGTCCGCGCAGCGGCACTGGCGATTCAATACATAGTTGTCCAGGGCAACATCGTACACTAGAATAAATAAATAGGTATAATTTAGTTAGTCGGACAAGTCATTCTCATCAATATGCCCTAACACTATTCTCATACAACAGTAACAAAACAGTTTCTTTGTCTTAAAAGTTATTGTATTTCTTAGCATTAGTTAAAGTACACATTAACAGTTTAATCCTTTGCACTTTGATCCAGATTTAGTAGTCGTAGCTGTTCGTTGCCGTGGTGGCCTCGTCCAGCGGCACGAACATGTCCATTTTCTCGTAGTCCTGCGGCGCTATGTGCTTGTGGCTGGTCCACATGGCGTACGCCTTCTGGTCGGTAGCTGTCAGGGGCTTAAAGTTCTTCGGATCGCTTGTCTCCGACATGCTCAGCTTGGAATTGTAGCGTGTGTACATGAAGATGCGATAGCGCCAGGCGTCGAAGGTCTGTTTCCAGTCCTCCACATTCTTCACGGCTCCTTGGGGCACACTGTTTAGCATGTGGGCCAGTTTGGCCCACAGGGGTTCGGTGAGGCCATCGTGTCGGCGGTGGTTCGACAGCATGCACGGATTGTCCTCGAAAAACTTGACGTACAGTTCCTTTTGGTCCTTGGACATTCGCTCGCCGCGTTCTTAAAGAGAATTTCAAAGAATTAAGTAAAGTTTTTGGATTGGGAAATGGGCTTCTCACTTCTGAAGCGACTCATCAGACCCGGCGTATACGGCGATTGTTGGGAGGGATTCGGTGCATTCATCGGTGGCAAAGGGTGCGAGTAGCTGGGGAAGATCTGCTGACCCGGAAGTAACTGCTGCTGGTGTTGTTGTTGCTGGGCTTGGTGTTGCTCCTGACGCGCCAGGAATCTGGAGGCCCGCTGCAGGCGCTCCACTTCCGACTCGGACTCCGCCTTAGGTATGATGTCCATGGGATCGATGGACTGGGTCAGCGATTCCGGCGTCCGGTCCGAGTAGGCCTGTCCCAAGCGCAGTTTGTGGCTATTATCCGTAGGCTCGGATCCCGAGTTGTTGCCCTGGTGCTCCAGAGGCGAGTCCACGGCTTCGCTGCTCATCCCCAGGGCCGGGGAGGTGGGCTGAGAGTCGGGCACATATTCGTGGGCGTGGTGCGAGGTGCTCTCGTTGGATCGCTGCGGCAGTGGCACGTGGTGCTGGTGCGGTTGGGGGTGGTGGGCCTGGAGGTGCTGCTGCTGCTGCTGCTTCAGGGCCGCCATCGAGCAGGAGGGCTCGTAGGAGAGCAGCTCCTTGGCGTGGCCATCGTCCAGGGCTGCAAGAGGAAGCATTTTACAATTTGGGTTTTATTACAGATGGCAATCGCAGAGACTTACAAGCGAAACGCACACGCCGCGTCTACATAAACACAACAGATCTACAAATAAGACCGGGATCCGGAACTCGGAACTCTCGGCGACTCCGGGTTAAACGCTTAAACGCTAATTGAAACGCGACTTAGACGAACCGTAACTTAGAGGCTATTTACCTTGACTGATCTCTATAACGAAGTTGGTGAGGTCGTGACGCTGGGCCAGGTAGTGCAGGAGCAGCTCGTCCGGGATATTGAAGCCGATCTTCTTGTTGCGGAACTCGAAATTGTAGATCCCGAAGGCGGCGCGCACTGTGGAGGCGGGATTAGTTAGGTTTGTTTCTGGTTTTTTGACCCAATCGTTTTTAGGGTTCTCCATGTTTTTATGGCGACCCCCATCCACTCCACCTCCATGCTTACCCACGTTCTTCAGGTCCCATATGTTCAGGTTGCGGTTCTCCTCGGGCACCCCGATCATCAGCAGCTTTTTCGTGTCGCGAAACTGAAACGGAATTATAATCCCCGATCGCAGCACCATTTTTAAAGCGCCCACACACGCGATTTATAAAAAATTTTCACAGATTTCCGACGTCCGCTTTGTGCCTATCGTCCGTAATTGTTTTGGTCTCCGTCCATTCCCGTTCGTAAACAGCGAACTAGTTCTGTCCCATCCGCCCTGCGGTCACACTTTTAAAGTCTTGCGAACCGGAGCGGAACTAGTTACCTTTGTAACTGCGAAAGAGTAGTAACCTTTATGTGACCTTTTTTATTGTTGCTTAAACAATTAAAAATAGTTCTTATTCTTATACACATTCTATGTCTCTGGCTCAAAAATCAATCATCTACATTTTAACTCATATTAATAAAGAATAGAACCACAATCCGTTTTTGAGAAATCTTTAATAGGGCTTGTGCCCTATCAATTCGTGTAGACATTTTCTCCATAATAATAAATTGAAAACCAAAAATTTTATTGCTAAGTACTCTTTCCACTTTTCGGAAACTTAAGAAAAATACGTAGCAAGCAAGCCAAAATTATACATGAAAAATTAATTTTAATTAAAATTGTTGGGAAATCTTTAATTGAGTTTCAATAGCCTGCTGAATATATTTTTTAAATTTGTTAAACCATTTTACGGTTATTAAAAACAAATAATGCAATCTGAATGAATAAATAGAACATATAAAAAGTGCGTTTCAATAGAAGAGCTTACCTAAAAATAGGTGCTAGTATATGAATCACATAAAGGGCTCATTAGGGCGCAAACTAGTTCCAAAGATGGCTTTGGGAAATGATCCAGTTTATTTTAATACTTCGTGTGCGGTCACACTTCGAAGCTGGGTAAAGTAAAAACCAAAACAAGAGAAATCAGAGTAATCCCGTCCAGATGTCCACAAATTAGTCTACCTATTAACCACCCGTTCTTCCAGGTTATTCCCCAATCTGAATCCAATAAGAGAGCTACCTTCCCGCCTCCACAATGCTTGAAAACTGCCAGCGACATCATATGCTCCTCGGACTGGGAGCCCTCACGATGGTCACCATCCTCGTCCTTTTTGTGGAATCCAGATACGCGGCAGAAGGACCCCGTCGCCGGGAGCCGCAGTTCGTCATAGAGGACAACTCGACGTGCTGGCGAAACGAGAAGTACACGATGGTGCAGGAGTGTCATCCGTGCTCCGAGTTCGACATAGTCAGCCGGAGCCTGGGCGTCTGTATCCACACGCACTACAAGGAGGTGCTGCGCTGCCAGAGCGGTGAGATAGTGACCAGGAGCTGCGACCGGGTGGCGCTCATCGAGCAGATGAACTTCCTGAAGTTTGAGGTCTTGTGCCTTGTAGTTGGACTACTGAGCTACCTGGTTAGCTACGCTCGGGATCGAATCCTCTCTAGGCGCAACTACATGAGAATCGAGCGGCAGCTCAACCGGGTGCAATAACCCCTTCCCAAGCCATCCATTCCCTTCCCCAAGTGATACTCATTGACCGTACGGAAGGTACATTATTTAATTTAATTTAGTTTAAGTACATACATATACACTCTGGAAATACCATGTTAAAATTCATTTGCTAATACTAGGGGGTTTTAGATATTGCATGCTTTTGGAATGCTCGTTTTCGAGTGACAAACACAATTCGGTGCTAATAATATGCATAACATTTTGATTCGGTAATAACAATGGTTCCTGTATCTCTGCATCCTATCAAATTTTGAGGGATCGGAATTATTTGTATCCCTTCTAATTTTTAAAATATACTCTTTCGGTTTAAGAGTTTCGTCTGCCAAGGCATATAAAATTCCGATGCCACATCATTTCATTGGATGCAGGAACAGGTTTAAAGATTCAGCTGCCTGGAATGTTCCTTTCCTCTTCGTAACTGCCTAATTCCGCCAGTCGGGAATCAGATCCGGTTCCGCTCCCAGGGAGGCAGTGGGCGGCATAGCGGGCGGAGCAGCTGTGGGCAGGGCTGGAGGCGATGGCTGCGCGTCCAGAGTCTCTTCGCTTGTGGTGCTCGCATTGCTGCAGGCCTTCAGCGAGTTGTCCGTCATGGGCAGCGGTTTGGCCACGCCAATGCGCACCACTCCCTTCGAGGCCCCCTTCAAAGCCTGCACGGCCTGATCCAGTGAGGCGTTCTCCAGGTTAATGGAGTTCACAAACAACAATCGGTCTCCGGGAATAAGGCGTCCGTCCAATTGAGCCACTCCTCCGGGCACCAATGAACGGATTACAATCAGTGTGTCGTTGGGATCCAGCGGATCCTGGTAGTCGAGAATGGAGAAGCCCAGGCCACGATCGCCTTTGACCAGCTCGATGATTTGCGGTTGGGATGACCACATGGCCAATCCGGTCAGTGGCTCCAGGGATCGTGACTTAAGCTTGCTGAACGAAGCGGCGGCGGCAGCCACTGAATCGCCATCGGCCACGGAGCCAGCGGTGGCCAGACTTCCATCCGACTTGGCCTTCACCAGGCGATCCGTGGCGGGCAACAGGTTCTCAAAGTTGTTACTCAGCTTTTTCAGGGTGTCATCGGAGAAGGGAAGCAAAGAGGTGTTCCTGTTGCGACCGCACACCATGCGCACGTCCAGCGGCAGTTCCTTGAGTATAGCCACCACCTCCAGGTGGTTCATGCCCAGCAACCGCTCGCCGTTTACCTCTAGCAGTTCATCGCCAGAACGGAGAACTCCATTAACGCCTACGGGTCCATCGGGCAAGATCGAGCGGATATAGTGGTGGGGTCGTACCTCGCGTCCTCCTTCGACGTCCACGGTTCCCTCCAACGAGATTCCCAAGCCGCCAACGGCGAACTTTTTGATCTGAGCCACAATCACCTCCACATCGGAGCCCACAATCTTCTGCCACTTGCGAATGATCTCGGTTTCCGCGTCGTCAGAGAGCTCCGGATCGGTGTAGTACTTGTGACGGGTGATCACACCGCTGTTCTTGGCCTACGAAATCGAAATTCCTTGATAAGATTGGCTTTTAAACTACTGATAGGCGACTACTAACCTCTGTTTTATCCGCCAAGGGTACTACCTCTGTGGGTATGATCTTCGTGGAGCCATCCAGAGAATCCCTTACTGCTACCAGTTGTTTTCCCGCTCCAAAGGAGCTCAGAGTGGTGGTGGTCATTGTGGTTACCGACGGCGGAGTGGTCATGAATGCTTCTGGCGCCGGCAAAGCTTCCTCTTCCAGCTCCCTGGTGATACTGCGCGAAGGCGTAGTTGTGGCCGAGGACGTGGTGGCCACGGGCGTGGGCAAGGGGGCCCTCGAAGGCGTTCCAGGAGCACTGGATGGAAGCTTGTCATTAGCAGCGATTGCCTGCTGCAGTTGCTCGAACTTGGGACCACGTAGGTAGCGTTCCAAGCGGAGATTTACCACCTGACCAGACTTCTTCAGCAACTCGACAGCCTGGTGATTCGAGTAGCCCTGCAGCGACTGGCCGTCCACTTCGATGATGCGATCATTGACCCGGATGCGTCCACTCAGGTCAGCCGCCGATCCCGGCGAGACGCTCTTCACAAATATGCCAGACAGCTCCTCCTTCTCACAAACATAGCCGGCAATGGTGATGCCCAGGCCGTTGGCATCCTTCTTCAGCTCCACCTGCAGCTTCTCCGTCTCAGGAAGGGCCAGCAGCTCCTCCAGGTCGATGTTGGGGTCAATAAGCATGGAGGTCTCACCGCGATACACAAACCGATCATCTTCCGTGGTGGTCTGCGGGGTGGAGGCCGTGGAGCTCTCGCCAAAGATCTCCGGATAGCCGGTGGAGATGAGGTACCGCTCCAGCTCGGCGGGATCGACGAGCACGCGCGTGGGCACCACAGCAGTGCCCGGTTCCAGGGCGTACTGCGGTGTGGGCAAGTTCTGCTCGACGGGACGGGCGACAACCAGGCGGACATGGGTTCCAGACTGACGCAGCACGGCGGCCACCTGTTCGGAGACCATTTCGTGCAGATTAACGTCTCCAATCTGCAGGATGTGGTCCCCAGAGCGCAGGCGTCCATCCCTGTCGGCCACTCCACCCGGAAGGATAGTCTTGACAATCACTCCCGAGTTACGGGCGCCAATGATGCCGAATCCCAGACCCGTGCCGTCGTTGACCAACTCAATGGCCTGAATCTGGGCGTAGTCCGTGGCGTACAGGTCCGCCGCTCCTGTTCCCTTGGAGTTTTGGCTTTGTGGTCGAGGCTCCTCGCCGACGCCGCCAGACTTATCCGGGCTTCCCGGCGCCGAATGGGAGTGGGAGGAGGAGCGCTGCTCGTCGAAGTCGTACATCACCTCGCCGCCATTCAGGCTGAGCACAAGGTTGCCGGCCACATCGATGTCGAAGTCGTTGGGCAGCATGGACGGGTGCTGGCCGAGCTGGGCATTGAGCTCGGAGAGCGAGTCCTGCACGTGGACGATGGTGCGGAAGACGGGGTCCTGCAGGATGCCAAGAATGGTGTTCAGGCTCTCGGCCGTCTGCATCTGCAGCTTGGGGTCGTCGGACTCATCGATGCTCTTCTTCACAGCCTCGATCTGCTGCAGGGCGCTGGAAATGTCCGCGCTGAGGTGCATCTTGTGGCAGTGGGCGTGGCCAGCGGGTGCTGAGTGTGTGGCAAGTGGCAATGGCCAGTGGAGCGTGATCCCTATGCCACTTCCGCTGGCGTTTCTATGCACTTATGGGCGGGGGCTTTGTGGTGTGCGTTGGCACACTTTGTCTCGAACTGGGTAATCGGATTTGCACTCGAACTGGAGCAGCTCCGGATCAGCTACTGCGCCCTGTGGATGCCGAGAGGTGTTGCCCTCGTTCGTGAACAGTCTTTTCGGTGGCCACTTGCTGTAATTGCTAATCAATAACTGTTCCGCGATTTTCACCTCTAAAAACAAATGGTGGGTGTTCGATTAGTTTACAAATTTACAAACAACGTAACAACGTAAGGTCGGCAAAACGTAAGCCACCGTAAGTGTCAGTGTGTCAGTGAAAAAGGGAGATAGCCTCAGCGTAAGTGTCAGTGAAAGAGATAGATAGATAATGGAGAACTGAAGAAGTATCGGAAATCTAAGTCGACATCCATTTGCTTAGCGAGTGCAGGCACCACAGCGCGTACAGCAACCGGCGCTGCCACCTTGGTTTTTCGTTTTCAGTGTTGGTAAGTTTTTCGAACACCTGATGAATAGGGCTGCCCTACATCGACAGGTAATCGATACTTCGGACAAGGCTGCCACCTTGTCAAGCATCAGTTTAAATTAAGCCGTTAAAGATATTTGAAATTGTTGATCCGAGTACAATATGGATTCGACCAATACGAATTAACATTTGTAAAAAAACAAAATTCGTATAGTCTTGAAAATGGTGAGTAAATCCATTTAGGACTAAGAAAAATTGTGTAGCTTTCCCAAATCCCTATCTTTTCCAAACGAAAAATTTGAATTTATTTAACTGTACCCACAATTTCAAGTGTTCCAAATACAGAATAACAATAAAGAGACTCCTATTAACCCATGTTGCGCTCCTCCTCCTCCTGCAACTCAATTTCCAGCTTGCGGAACTCGCGGAAAAATTCGCGAGTCATTTGCTTCATATGTGGCGTCAAATACTTGGGGAAAATATCTACAGAGGGAGCAGGAAAACTATCAGTATAAGAACCATCCCAAAACAGTCAACCCACAATTAAATTCTATGATGAGGTCCCCGAACTGTTCCACCTTTTTGTTGGCCTCCTTAATAGCCGTCACTGCGTCCAAGTTGCGGCACTTGGGCAGTCCCTCGAGAGGAACCACCTTAGTATAGCCCGGCTGCACTACGTCCGTGATGACCACCTTCAACTGGCGCTTGTCCAGCGTGGAAATGAAGAACGTGATGCCGGTAAAGGCCTGGCACAGATCAATGCACTGCCTGTAGACCAGGTCGTGGTGGTTCCTCCGCTCGAAGTCCGGGTGCGGCTTGTCGGCGGCAATGAAGATTATGTCACCCGGAATGGTGGCCGGATAGCGATCGCCCTCCTCCTTGAAGCAGAAGCGAGTGCCGGCCGTGGTTCCCGGGGCGATGTTCAGCTTCAGAGTGTGCTTGCGCTTCTCCAGACGCGACTCCTTGGCGTCCACGATCTCCTGGCGCCACACGTTCATCAGCTTGACGCAGCCAGTGCGCACCTCCTCCAGCGACAGCTCGATGATCCGCTCCGTGCTGGCATCCTTGGAGCGCACCCCAATGCCATGCTGCCGGGTGGCATATAAGCTGGGCGGATTGGCGATGGCATCTATCACATTGGCATAGGGTGAGTAGCTGCCGAAGACCCGCTCGTATACCTTCATGTGGTCGCCATCGTATTGGTACGGGGGAAAGTAGCCGTTGGGCAGCATCACTCCCTCGAACAGACCCGCCTCGCCATAGCGATCGTAGATGGCGCGGTAGAGATCGTTGCCCAGCACATCGAAGGCCATGTTGATGTAGGCCCACTGCCTGGGCTCGCCCATGGGTGAGAGATGCGTGAGTCGACCCTCCTGGGCCAGCGGCACAAAGTCCTGCTCGTCCTTCTTGTCGCGATGCGGGCACAGGCGAATGGCCAGTCGGCGGTAGGCCAGGGTTAGCTGCTCCTTGGTGGCTCCCCTGGGCTGGTCCAGCACCGCGTAGTAGTCCAACTCCGGTCGGTTCATTGTTTCTGTTTGAAAACGATGTAAACAACTGGCAATACTGAATACTCACAAATTATTTGACGTATTACTGAGAATTTAGCTGACTTTATTCAAATTATATACAAAAACTCAACTGAAGCAGGGCTCTGGTTAAAGATGAAGTAGTGGATGCATGTGGACAGTACATTAAGATTAGAGCTATGATGTAGATGGAAACGTGGCGGCGATCAGTCAACGTCCTCGGTGCTGACGCCTGTGTAGATGGGCTCCTCCTTGGCCGCGCTCTCCGACTTGGCATCGTCGGTCTTCTCCTCGCCACCGGCGGCGTCATCTGAGTCTGATTCGTCGTCGTCCTTCTTCGCACCTTCCAAGTCGGCGGCATTGGGCACCCAGAGGCCAGAGTCCACGCAGCGCTTCATGTGCAGCTTGGCCACGTCCACGGGCATGGCGGCGATGGTCTTCTGCAGCAACTCCACATCGCGTGATTCGAAACAGGCCTTCAGTTCCTGCACAAAAGAAGACATGTTAGCCGGGTATTCTCCTCAAAAATCTTTCCCCTCGAACTTACATCGGGCAGGGATTCAAAGACATCGGCTGGGTCCAGGCCACCGGGACCCAGACGCTCCTTTCGCTCCTCCTCTTCGGCCTGGGCTATCACCTCCTGGATCTTTTCCTGGGCCCGCTTCTGGATGCGCCCCTTGAAACCTTCAATTTCGCTCTCAAACTGTGCCCGGTACTCGGGCTGACAGTGCTGGATCTTTGAGAAGAACGAGTTGACGCAGGCGCGCGGATCCACGTCCAGCTGCTTGGCCAGCTCCAGGATGTACTGCATGCATATGCACTGATGCGCCACGTGGGCCATCAGCTCGTGCTTCTCCTCCATCTCCAGATTGATGGACCAGATCACCAGGTAGTTGGCCGTCTCCTCGCCCACCAGCTGAAGGTGATCCTGCAGGAAGCGCTTGGAGTCGTCGTACTTGCGCAACATGCCGTACTGCTTGCAGAGCTTCTCGTTCTCCTTGACGAATTGCTTCATGCGTTGCTCGCGCTCCTCCTCGGACAGATTCTCGTCCGCCTTGCGGCCGGCCTTCTTGTTGATCACGGTCTTTTCGAATCCGGGCTTGCTGATGGTATCCACGTTCCAGGGCGTCTTCTTCTCCTTCTTAAGCATTTCGCTCTCGATGCGGTCCAGCTCCTTGCCCTCGGCCTCGATCTTCTCGAGCTCTTTCTGTGGAATAGGAATTAAATTATTGTATATAGCAAGTCTATTGATTAAATGATTGCTTTACAATTTACTATGTAATTTCATTACGTGAGTAATAATAAGGTATTTATAAAAAATAAAGTTAAGAATTCCCTTGACAGTAGTTATTTAACTAAACTACAGAGACAAAAGAGCCGGCTTAATGACTCATTTCAGGAAAAAAAAATGGACTGTGCATTGTCAAGGGAGTAATGAGAAAAATAAAAGTACTACTATTATATCTCTGATCCTCCCAAGAATCGGTAACTCCCAGCAACAAGTGAGCAGTGCGATGACCCACCTTTAGAGCCGCCTCGTCGCCGTCCTTCTTGGAGATCCGCTCTTTGACGTCCATGAGGCGCGCCTGGAAGCTCTGACGCTTCTTCTTGAGCTCGTCCTTCTCCTGGTCCATCTCCGCCATGCGCTCCACGCGCGCCTGGTGTCGCCAGCGGAAGAGGGAAGGCGTGTCGATGTTGGGGTGGGTGTCGTCCTCGTCGTCCGAAATCTGAAAAGGAATGTGCGGATGCGGATTCGCGTTTAGTGGGGTGAATGGCATCACCTCCGCCCGGGCACTCACCTCGATGTTCTTCCACTTGCTGTAGTCCACCATTTTGCTGTTTGTTCGCTTTGGACTTCCTTTAAAAGTAAATGCTGCAGGTTTCTTTCTTTTTCCGCTGCTTCCTTTTTTTGGATTGCTCTGGAAATAAGTGATGGGCCAACCACTCTAGATAGTATCGATAGATCGATATCTTCAAAGCAGTGCAAAAAAATGTTCGCGATATCTTTCGGATAAAAACATACTAAATATAACAACAAATTAAAATTTAATTAACACATTTCAAATATAATATTTACAAATCAAGCAAACTAATTATTTATTGCCTTTTATTATTCAAACTGAAAACATTTTGGTAAAGTTAACTTCGATTTAATTTGTATTAATCATTTGGTTTTCACTATGTCTATTTAAAATGAAAATAAAACTACAGCTTAAATGGCTTTGGAAAAATGCAAGTAAAATCAAAAAAAAATTTTTTGTTCGGTTCTTCCGTGGCAACACGGAACTTATGAATAGTAGTGCTACTTTGAATGAAAGCATCGACATCTTAAAACTCTCAATTATTCGGTTTTATACATTTTACGGTAGGGTTGATGCTTTCATGAAAACTTGTTTAGTTTAACTTTAAGTACTACAATCAATTTTTTAACTCTCATTTTGAAGCCGATTTATTCAGAGTGACCGCTTGGAGTATTTGAAAAAAAGTAAAAATGGTATATTTCTTTGCTCCAACGGTATTATCGACCGCGGTCACACTCTAATCGGCCGACATATTGAAAAAAATTGCTCCGTGCGTTAAATCGAGGCGCTCCGTGAAAATTGCGAGAAACTACTGAAAATCAATAGTTTAATTAACAAATTAACAGTGAACGATCACGTTTTCCATTAAAGTGTAAGTTTCTTGAATAGTTTTGCCAGTAGCTTACTGTAATTGGGCTCAAACTGCAATTGAAATTCGGCTTGCATGTAAAGTGAAAATTTTTCGGGTCAACGCCACACCCTCGAAGGCGACCTGAAATCCAATTAAACAGGGTAAAAGTGAGAGAAAAGTCTTGGCCACGACTGAAAATCGAGAAGGTCCAATGGCAGTGCTTAATTAGTCATCAAAATTTTGATATTCCAACAAAAATTCTGGATTATAATTGCAATTGAAGAAAAAGTATCTGGTACTCCAGTTGTGCATGTGTGTGTGTGTGTTACGCAGGAGTACAGAAGTCTCTGTGTGTGTACGTCATCGGGGGGTGGAGTGGGTGTTGGTGGTGGTGCGGCAACTTCAGCAGAGAGAAAGCGCGAGAGAGCTTTCTCCCACTCTCTTGGCATGTTTGTGTTTGCGAGAGAGTCTAAGTGCGGGTAAAAAAAAGTAAATTGTTTGCCTTACATTTGCCAAAACCTGTTTTGGGTGGGGGAAGTGTCCTTGACTTTGTCGAAGGCCTGTGTTTGCATAGGATGTTTGTTTTATGTTTGTAAGTCGAACCCATTCTATCTGTTATATGTATGTAGTTAATTTTGGGGCCTCTTCTATGATTGCTCATAATTCCAAACCGTACGCATTACGTCATCCTCCGCTATTTTCTGATAGACACTTCAATTAATGTTTCGCTCTCTCTCTTACTCTCTACTGAGTGGTGTGTGTTTTCTTTTGCTCTCTTTTTTATTAAGGTGGGCTCTCTCGCACTTGTGTTTTCTGTTGTTGTTTTTATTTGCCACCGCGATAAACAGTTAAATTGCCTGTCTGTGTATTTGTATGGCTGCCAAGCCCTGGATTGTTGCTATCCCCCTCTGATTTATTTCAATTTCCTGCGGTAATGTGTGTTGTTTGTTTGTTTGTCTGCATGTATGACCCCACCCTCTCCCCGAAATGATGTCACAGTTTTGACCCCTTCTGTACGGGGGCCTTCTGAAATATTAAGTAATCTATTGCTGAATTCCACACATTTCGTAGATTTCCTAATCGAAATTGCTTAATTGGTTGTTATATTTTGGAGGCACAGTAGAACGTGATTAATAATTATCAGTAAATAATAAGTTTTTCTTCTTAAGATCTTAGAATCCTGGACTTTTCGAAATTCACACAATCTATTGGCGAGTTCCGGACATCTCTAATACCTCAGTAACCTAATTTCTTTATTAAAAATTGTAATTAACTGTAGTTACAGTAAATACTGTAGAAATTGGATTTTGTGTGCTATGTTAAATATAAACAATTGAATCTCATCTTATACCACCCACACGTTAAACAATATCGAACCAAATATAAAATAAGATGTTGTTTAGTTTCTACAAAAGTATTAGAAACCTATCTTGTTTTTCCAAATGTTTAGCTAAACTATCCTGCAGTATTTGTAAAATTTTCTTGTAATTTTTCCCGAAATTGACCTTTAATCCTGAACGCCCCACTGAACTTTAACCCTTCTATCCTAACCAATATTTCACTTTTTATAGCTTTTATAACCGGCGATGATGTCATCGCCGCCTAAATTTGATAACTCGTAATGTCTTTCGTGCAGTTCACGTTGATTTAGTTTAGTGTGTGTGAAAAAGTGATGTCAATGTGAAACAAAAAAGAGAAAATCAAAATCCTGCAACTTCAACCCATCCAAACAAGTCTAAAAATAGAACTAAACTAGAAAACGAAAATCCAGAAAAGCCGAGCCAACATTTCCCTTCTCTCTCCTCTTCCGTTGCAGGGAAACAAAAAGGGAGAGAAGTGGAATAGAAGGAGGGCGAAAGGTCAAAAATAGCTCGAGCTGAGGCAAAGAGAGGAAGAGTAGATCACCAGATCATGTCCACAGACACTCCAATTTAAGAAATAAATATGACTAAGCCGGAAGAGGAGCATCTGCAGCAGCTGCTTGTGCAATTGGAGAAGGTACCACGCCCCCAGCTGCAGCAGACATTCGTGGCCCACTTTAAGAAGGGCGGCAAGGGGGATCACCAGCAGGGAAACTGCAGCCTGGAGGAGTTTGCCGCCTACTTTCTGGCTGCACTGCGCCAGAGCACAAGGCAGTACTTCTACACAAGGAGTTCGGAGACTCCCGTTCAATCCCTGACCCCCATCCGCCAGCCCAAGCCACCGCCCGCCGATGTGGCTAAGGATCTGGAGGAGCAGCAGCTCCAGCTCAACGAATCCCTGATACTGAACCGCAGCAGCGGTAGTGTGACCTCCATAACTCCGGCCCGTCAGCAACCGCATGGAAGAAGATCTATGTCAGGAAGTGGCGGTCAGTTTTGTAGCACGCCCAACAGGAGCGGCGGCGGAGGAACACCTGGAGGAGGTCACAGCCTCTGCCTGGGCGACTTTGTGGTCACCACGCCCAACCAGAGCCAGCAGCGATCCAAGAAGAAGACCACACCCCAGCAACAGCAGCAGAATCAACATCCAGGAGCCGGAGCCGGAGCCACACCCCAATCCAAGCCATGGCGACGTGTCTTACCTATGACCATCAGCAAGAATGTTTCAGCCAACTCCTCCTTTGGCGACACCAGTTCCTTTAGCAACGAGAATAATCTTTGGCGAATCTCGCAGAGCAGCGAAATCTTTGACAGAAGTCAAGGAGCCGCCCTGGAAATGGAGGCACGCAAATCCCTGTTGCTCAACAAGCAGGAGATCAAAACCGAGGCGCCTGTGAATGTCAGTCAGCAGGAGAGGGCGCCCGAGGATGAGGTATTCGCCGGAGAGGCCCTTAACTTAGAGGATGTGAGCGATACCAACCAATTGCAGCTCATATCCAGCCTTTACAGCCTCCTGTTGGACCTTAATCTAGTGCCTAATGTCCTGAGTGAACTGAGCTTTGTGCTGCATCTGCTCAATATACGAGACTTCGGGCAATCCCCCAAAGAATCAGATGTCCCCGCTGCCCTGGAGCGACTCACCCAGTACAAGAGTTGTGTATACTTTGCCTTGAAGCTGCTGGAGAACCAGCAAAAGTTACTTTTACAGCTGGACAAAAGAACATTGATGGTGCTGCTTCAGAACGAGAGACTGAGCCTGCTGCCCCCGGCGATGGTCCAGCAACTGGAAACCTCCTGCCAGCAGAGACAGGAGCTGGGTAATACATCCTTTGCCTTGGATACCTCATCCTCATCGGCTCAGCAGAATGTATACTATCACGTGGAAAAGGATTCGCGGGACAACTTTCCCACGCAGAACGAGTTCGGGGCCTTCAAGACCCAGAGGGATCTCTTCTACAAAGCCCTCAAGCAGTGGGAGGTGAGCCACCTGAATCGCGTTTTCAACTTTGCCAGCGAGCTGGCGCCCCGGATTAGGGAGATCTTCAAGGTATCGGAGCACCCGGTGAACATGGCGCACTTTGCCAAGTTGTTTGTCAGCCAGCTGCTGATCTCAGCCACCGAGACCACCGAATCTCCCGAGGAACTGGGCTTCAAGTTGGATCCCCTCAGGCACAACAAACTGGCCCAGCGCTTGGTGACCTCCAATTCCAGCGTAGAAGGTCAGTTTCCGCGTTCGCAGGCCTTCTTTCGCGATTTTATCGCCGGCTGCTCATCGGTGGCATTTCTGGTGCACCTGAAGCTGGCTCTTTTCGTCCAGCTAGTGCGTCACAACGACTCCACCTTTGACCTGCTCCAGCTGGCCGAAGATGTGGGTGCCGAGGAGCAGTCCGCTCAGCAGGGCCCGTACATTGTTCGCGTCCAGGCCATGGCTAACATGCTAATCCTGGCCAAGTTCCTGGGCTATGTGACTGTTTTGCCTTTTAGCGGGACCACGCAGCATGGCAATCCAGCTCCGCCTCATCTTTGCCCCCAGCAGTTGCAGCTGCGCAGCCACTTTCACCCGGACTTCAGTCTCCGCGAGATACTCGAACGCTCCATGCGGCAGGGCAAGTTGCTGATCACGCTACCCTGGTTAGTTCAATACCTGGTGATGCTCGATTTGGTCAGCTTGCATCTTCCAGACTCGCTGGCCACCTTGGAGCTGCTGTACGGACTATATGCAGCTTTACATATGGAAAAACTACAACCGGGAGCTGTGTTTATTGTCAGGAGTTGCATTGGCTGGTTGCTGGATGCACAGCCCCAGTTAGTTAACGACTACTACAGTCACCGGGCAGCGAAGCACAGTACTTCCTCGATTGTGGATCTCTGTTTGAGTGCACTACGTTGTCACGAGAAATTGAATAGTCCCCTGCTGGAGGAACTTCTGCCAGTGGCCTGTCCTTTCCTCCAAGAATTTCGGGTGAGCATCACGCCTTCTCGCCAGGCGAGGAGTGGCCGCTTTCGATACATAACCACTCGATTGGAGCAGCTGCAGCAGAGTAGCAGTGGCACCTCCAAGGAGACAATGGCTCCCAGCGAGCTAACGCCCTCGGAGCAGCAGCAGCGCAAGTTGGCCGATGCCTTCCTGCACTCCCAAAACGCCTCCACCAGGAGGTTGATCGAGTTCGTCACGGAGCGCAGCTTCAAGTGCGTGGTCAAGGATGCCCAGCAAGAGATTCTGCTCCCATCGAAGTCGTCGGCCGATGCCAAAGTTAACGAGATCAGCTCCGTGAAGCAGGAGGAGGTCTACCAGAAGCTTCAGCAGATCTTCCAAGAGGCCAGGGAGAAGGCCTGCCAGCGTTGGAAGGAGCAGGTGCCGCAGATGCTGGACAGGCGCATAGGTAAATCCCTGGAAGCCCTTCTGCCCGCCAGCACAAATGTGGTACTGCGGTCCACATATGCTCATTTAATCCGCGTCCAAGCGGTGCAACAGCTGCAACATTGGCTCCAATCCAGCGTGCTGCAGTCCACATTCTATCACGGTGACCTCCAGGAGCTGGCAACCAAGGTGTGCAACTCCAATAGGAACAAGGCGGATGCAGCTGCTGCTGGTGGCAACGGTTCCAGTGAACTCCAGCTCAGCCCGGATGTGGGCTTCAGCATGTCGGAGCTGCTCTTCCAGCTGCAACAGTGGCTGCACTGCCTCAGCTTGCGGCCGGAAAATGTTGGCAGTCGGCAGGAGCTGGCAGAACTCCTTAGACAATCCCAACAGGCGGTCATGTTTCCCCAAATGCCCACTGTATTCTATCACCTAGTTGGTTCTGGACTGGTACACCTGCTCCAGTTGATCATCAATAGAAAACCGAATTTCCTCGACGAGGAATTAATCTCAACATGCTGTTCGGTGTGGCGGTCACCGCAGTTCATGGCCAGTGAAACTTCTCCGGGGATCTTCGAAGGCCTACTCAGCATTAGTTTTGTGGAGGAGATGTGCCGTAATCCGGACAGCTTTCGGATGCTGGAGAAAATCTTGAAATCTATGTTGCATACAGGGGCAATTCGGGCGGATCAGCTCAACGAACTCTTCATGCCCCTCTTTGCCCAGAACTGGCCGCCAAATGTGTGGAGCACCCTTTCCAATCTTCTCCAGCAACTCTCTCTTTCCGGCAAGGATACCGGAGGCCACGACACCTCCAGCGAAAGTCACGAAGACGAGGCCAAATCGCATCTCTTCATGGAGATGCTGGCCGATTTATCGCGGGATCTGGATAGTTTTTAAGTTTAAAAGTGTTGGTTATGTCATTTAGGGATTATGTTTCGAATAAAGCGTTCCTTTTCTGTATTTCTGTGCTGAAAATAACTCGGAAATGTGGGTTATGTCATTTAGGGTTTATATTTCGAGTAAAGCGTTACTTTTCTGTATTTCTGTGCTGAAAATAACTCGGAAATGAGGTTCACAGTTTATTGGGAATGTAGCCGATAAGATAGCGATAACTTGTGGAACCTAATCAGCGGGAGAATGCGTCACTTTCGCAGTTTTAGTTTGGTTTTCTGTAGAGTAGTGTGTGCGAACGCTGAGGTTACGAAAAGGGGACGAGGTTGTCCATCGATGTGATCATCGACCTGAGGATCAGTCGACAACTAAGTGAGAGTTGAATGGAAAATCTTGGTTTACAAATTCCATTAAAAATGTAGAGTTTCATGTTTATCTTTTACGGATTATTATGTGTGAAATAAATATATAATCCCTAAAAGTTGTTGAACCTTGGGTTTCTTTATTTCTTCCCCCCCATTTATGATAATAGTAATTTCATTAGGCGAAAAACAAATGAATGAAATATAGTACTATGAAATATGTATGATATCACCAGAATTTGTTGAGAAATTTCGAAACAGCTTTAAAGATAGTAAAGTTTGTGAAATGCCAGCCACTACTTTTTATATTTATTTCCATGAATGTGTGCGGCTTCCATCTTATGAATGACCCAACGATTAAATAATTGACTGATGCTGTGGTTGTGTTTTTTTGCTGATTAAACCGAATTAAACTAATTATTACCCCTCCATTTCCTTTGCAGTTGTGCACGGTCAAACATTTGATGAAGAGGAAGCAGCAGTATTAAATTAAAATAAATCAGCGCCCAAAGAAGCTTAAGGTAAAATCCAAATAAAAATATGAAATAAAATACAAACTAATTTCGAAATCTCCACAGCAATATCAATATCGAAACGAACGAAACACTCAATAAACTAGACAAATAAACGAACCATCAAAATGGAGAACTTCACACCCAAGGAGGTGAAGATCCTCGAGACAGTAGAGGACATCCAGGAGCGACGTGAGCAGGTCCTGTCGCGTTACAATGACTTCAAGATCGAAACGCGCCAAAAGCGTGAGAAGCTCGAGGACTCGCGTCGCTTCCAGTACTTCAAGCGCGACGCCGACGAGCTGGAGTCGTGGATCCACGAGAAGCTGCAGGCGGCCAGCGAGGAGAGCTACCGCGATCCGACCAACCTGCAGGCCAAGATCCAGAAGCACCAGGCCTTCGAGGCCGAGGTGTCGGCGCACAGCAACGCCATTGTCTCTCTCGATAACACCGGTCAGGAGATGATCAACCAGCAGCACTTTGCCTCCGAGTCGATCCAGGTTCGCCTCGACGAACTGCACAAGCTGTGGGAGCTGCTCCTCAGTCGCCTGGCCGAGAAGGGCCTCAAGCTGCAGCAGGCTCTTGTCCTGGTACAGTTCCTTCGCCAGTGCGAGGAGGTGATGTTCTGGATCAAGGACAAGGAGACCTTTGTCACCGCCGACGAGTTTGGCCAGGATCTAGAGCATGTGGAGGTGCTGCAGCGCAAGTTCGATGAGTTCCAGAAGGACATGGCTTCGCAGGAGTACCGCGTGACTGAGGTCAACCAGCTAGCCGACAAGTTGGTGCAGGACGGCCATCCAGAGCGCGATACGATCACCAAGCGCAAGGAGGAACTGAACGAGGCTTGGCAACGTCTGAAGCAGCTGGCCATTGTGCGCCAGGAGAAGCTCTTCGGCGCCCACGAGATCCAGCGTTTTAACCGCGATGCTGACGAAACCGTCGCTTGGATTGCCGAGAAGGATGTTGTACTCTCGTCCGATGACTATGGCCGGGATTTGGCCAGTGTTCAGGCACTGCAGCGCAAACACGAAGGAGTCGAGCGCGATTTGGCCGCCCTGGAGGACAAGGTCTCCACCCTGGGTGCCGAGGCCCAGCGCCTGTGCTCCATCCATGCCGATCACAGCGACCAGATTCGCGACAAACAGGCCGAGATCGCAAACTACTGGCAGAGTCTCACCACCAAGGCCCGCGAGCGCAAGCAGAAGCTGGATGAATCCTACTACCTGCACCGTTTCCTCGCCGACTTCCGTGACCTGGTGTCCTGGATCAATGGCATGAAGGCCATAATCTCAGCCGACGAGTTGGCCAAGGATGTGGCTGGAGCAGAGGCGCTCCTGGAGCGCCACCAGGAGCACAAGGGCGAGATCGATGCCCGCGAGGACAGCTTCAAGCTGACCACCGAGTCCGGACAGAAGCTGTTGGAGCGTGAGCACTACGCCGCCGCCGAAATACAGGAGAAGCTCGCCGCTCTGGAGAACGACAAGAGCTCGCTGCTGTCGCTGTGGGAGGATCGTCGCATCCTGTACGAGCAGTGCATGGATCTGCAGCTTTTCTACCGCGATACAGAGCAGGCTGACACCTGGATGGCCAAGCAGGAGGCCTTCCTGGCCAACGAGGACCTAGGTGATTCCTTGGACTCAGTGGAGGCGCTTATCAAGAAGCACGAGGACTTTGAGAAGAGTCTGGCCGCCCAAGAGGAGAAGATCAAGGCTCTGGACATCTTTGCCACCAAGCTAATCGATGGCCAGCACTATGCCGCCGACGATGTGGCCCAGCGCCGCCAGATGCTCCTTGCCCGGCGGGCTGCCCTCCAGGAGAAGTCCTCGAGGCGTCGCCAGCTGCTGGATGATTCCAACCGATACCAGCAGTTCGAGCGCGATTGCGACGAGACCAAGGGCTGGATCAGCGAGAAGCTTAAGTTCGCTACGGATGACAGCTATCTGGATCCCACCAACCTGAACGGCAAGATGCAGAAGCACCAGAACTTTGAGCACGAGCTGAATGCCAACAAGTCGCGCATTGAGGACATCACCAATGTGGGCACCGAGCTGATCGAAAAGCAGCACTACGCCGCCGACCAGATCAACACCCGCATGCAGGAGATCGTGGTGCTGTGGGAGACCCTCGTCCAGGCTTCGGACAAAAAGGGAACTAAGCTGAACGAGGCCTGCCAGCAGCAGCAGTTCAACCGCACCATCGAGGACATTGAGCTGTGGTTGAGCGAGATCGAGGGCCAGCTGTTGTCCGAGGATCACGGTAAGGACCTGACCTCCGTGCAGAACCTGCAGAAGAAGCACGCCCTGCTGGAGGCCGATGTGATGGCCCACCAGGATCGCATTGAGAGCATCAAGGTGGCGGCCAACAAGTTCATCGAGTCCGGTCACTTTGATGCAGACAACATCCGCAACAAGGAGGGCAATCTCTCGGCTCGCTATGCCGCCCTGGCTGCCCCCATGGGTGAGAGGAAGCAGCATCTATTGGACTCGCTTCAGGTGCAGCAGCTCTTCCGTGACTTGGAGGACGAGGCTGCCTGGATCCGCGAGAAGGAACCCATTGCTGCATCCACGAACCGCGGTCGTGACTTGATTGGTGTGCAGAATCTGATCAAGAAGCACCAGGCCGTGCTGGCCGAGATCAACAACCACGAAGCTAGATTGCTAAATGTGATCAGCTCGGGCGAGAACATGCTGAAGGATCAGCCCTTCGCCAGCGATGACATCCGTCAGCGCCTGGAGGCCCTCCAGGAGCAGTGGAACACGTTGAAGGAGAAGTCCAGCCAGCGCAAGCAGGATTTGGACGACTCCCTGCAGGCTCACCAGTACTTTGCCGATGCCAACGAGGCGGAGTCGTGGATGCGCGAGAAGGAACCGATTGCCACCGGTAGTGACTACGGCAAGGACGAGGATTCCTCGGAGGCTCTGCTGAAGAAGCACGAGGCTCTGGTCTCCGATCTGGAGGCCTTCGGCAACACCATCCAGGCGCTGCAGGAGCAGGCCAAGAACTGTCGCCAGCAGGAGACGCCCGTTGTAGACATTACCGGCAAGGAGTGCGTGGTGGCCCTCTACGACTACACTGAGAAGTCCCCACGTGAGGTCTCGATGAAGAAGGGCGATGTTTTGACCCTGCTTAACTCAAACAACAAGGACTGGTGGAAGGTGGAGGTCAACGATCGCCAGGGCTTCGTCCCGGCCGCTTACATCAAGAAGATCGAAGCCGGTTTGAGTGCCTCGCAGCAGAACCTGGTGGACAACCATTCGATTGCCAAGCGCCAGAACCAGATCAACTCGCAGTACGACAACTTGCTGGCCCTCGCCCGCGAGCGTCAGAACAAGCTGAACGAGACCGTGAAGGCCTACGTCCTGGTGCGTGAGGCTGCCGACCTGGCCCAGTGGATCCGCGACAAGGAGAACCACGCCCAGATTGCCGATGTAGTGGGCGAGGATCTGGAGGAGGTGGAGGTACTCCAGAAGAAGTTCGACGACTTCAACGACGACCTAAAGGCCAACGAGGTGCGACTGGCCAACATGAACGAGATTGCTGTGCAGCTGACTTCCCTGGGACAGACGGAGGCCGCCCTGAAGATCCAGACCCAGATGCAGGACCTGAACGAGAAGTGGAACAACCTGCAGACGCTGACCGCCGAAAAGGCCAGCCAGCTGGGCTCCGCCCACGAGGTGCAGCGTTTCCACCGCGACATCGATGAGACCAAGGATTGGATTGCCGAGAAGGCCAATGCCCTGAACAACGACGACTTGGGCAAGGATCTGCGCAGTGTTCAGACCCTGCAGCGCAAGCACGAAGGGGTGGAACGCGACTTGGCCGCTCTGCGAGACAAGATCCGCCAGCTGGACGAGACCGCCAACAGGCTGATGCAGTCGCATCCGGACACCGCCGAGCAGACGTACGCCAAGCAGAAGGAGATCAACGAGATGTGGGACCAGATCATCACCAAGTCTACTGCCCGCAAGGAGAAGCTGCTGGACTCTTACGATCTGCAGCGCTTCCTCAGCGACTACCGCGATCTGCTGGCCTGGATCAACTCGATGATGAGCCTGGTCACCTCCGACGAGCTGGCCAACGACGTCACCGGAGCCGAGGCTCTGATCGAGCGTCATCAGGTAAGGATGTCGTTGGTGGATAAACCTAACGAATAAACTAGGATCTTTATGAATTAGAGGAGAATTTAATGCCTGGA